ACACAGACACACACACACACACAATACGAAGGGATGCTCACTCCATTTTTCATGACACACACACACATGCATATGAAAAAACACATCACACATTAATGCACCGCCTGTCAAATAGTTTTGGAAGCGTCCACACAACATGGACACACAGCGCCTACAGGAAGAGCACATGGATGTTGATGCACTAACATTTTAAAACCAAAAACATGCTTTCGCCACATGAAGTGCAGCAAGAGAAGGGGAGTGTCAGGATGACTCACACATCAATGACAACACCCCTCCCCCTGCCCCAATCTCACACACACACACACACACACACACACACAGACACAGACACATGTACACGCAAACAAGAAGAAGGACGTATCATTTGGATGCAACCCACATCCTCCCCACATCCTGGGGAAGCTCCCATCTGAAACTCAGACTGACAGCAGGACTCTAACTGACTGCAGTTTGTCTAAGGTGAAGGGATTTCGCTCGCATGATATTCTCACTTACAATGTATACTTTCATAAAGTCAAAATAATGGAACAAATTACAGTAGAATATCTGTACTTGACCTACGGTTTCTGATAATTATTTTTGCTTTGGTACAAATTATTTTGGTAGCTTTTATTTTCCATTGCCTCCAGATCACACTAACTCTAGGAAACTGCTGTGTTTATGCTGTTCACCACGAATCGACCAATCAGAATACAAAAAAGGTCGTCCGAGGCATAGGTCAGAGGTCGTCATTCTTCTTCGTCGTCTCTTTTCTGGGTTTATTGGCGGTTCGCAAACAACTTTGCTTCAAGTGGACGTGAAAAAAGCAGTACTCTCGAATACTGTATGAATGCTTTTATAAAAATTCAAAAGAAATGAACAATACTAATTTTCTGCAGATTAAGGGGCATCTTTAAAAAAATGCTTGCAGTGTAGTGTTAACAATTGTTTCAGATAACCAGATTTTTCACCCTTAACATATTTTGAGCCTTTCATCATTTTTTTTTTTTACCTAAAATACTTAACAGAAGCCAGAAAAGTAAGGCATTTCTTTTTGGAAAAGTGGCTCACTCTCAGGCTGTGTAAATCAAAAAGTCTCCTCTTATCTACTGATAGCTAAAACATGCAGGAAGCACAGGAACCTGGCTAACACACATTATTCACATCATTTATTCTAAGAAATACTTCTGTCTCTGTAAATCGAGGGCAGCTGACAAGACACAGACAGCTCTTGGCACAATGGAGTCATTTTTATGAAGGACATCTGGATAACAAGAGCACCTGCACTGAGTGACCCCGCAGGAAGGGGGGGGGGGGACTGTCTGAATCTGAATTTGTGTTGATGTTGATGATGAAGAATTCAGTTGTTTGTGCCTTGCCAGAAGCTACGGTTTGTCCGGGGTCATCGGCAGCTGACAAGACACAGACAGCTCTTGGCACAATGGAGTCATTTTTATGAAGGACATCTGGATAACAAGAGCACCTGCACTGAGTGACCCCGCAGGAAGGGGGGGGGGGGGGGGACTGTCTGAATCTGAATTTGTGTTGATGTTGATGATGAAGAATTCAGTTGTTTGTGTGCCTTGCCAGAAGCTACGGTTTGTCCGGGGTCATCTGGTGGTGTGGTGGGTTCAAGTTTTGTTCAACAGGCTCTGCTCGGTTTTGTTTTCTCTGTCTAACTTTATTCTGTGTTAGATCAAACATAGAGTAATGAACTTTCTAAACTAAGATCGTTTAAAGTTCACATGTTCAGCCCAGAGCTACTGAACATCTGTGGTTTCTGACTAACAGCTGTTTCTATTTTTCCAAAGTGCACGGTGCAGGAGACGAAATGGCTTCAGGAAATCTGATTTTCAAAAAGCACCAGTGGTGCGGCAAGTCAGAGGTAAACCATAGAAGAAAACATTTGTTAAAAATGTCAACATATGTTTAACAGTTTCCTTTTAGTATGTAGTAAACTTGTGTCAAATTAGGAGTTTTCCATCATAAGATCTCAATTTGAACACTTTTAACTCACCTTAAAAGTATACAACCACATGAAGTACTATGACTTATTCCAGTATAAAGCACTAGAAAATCTTAGCACAAGTTTAGACTGGATTTATTCTGGATTATTTCAGTTTAGACATGAAAATCTGGTTTTCTAACCCTGTATGTTCAGCTTTTGGGGATAGTTGAATCATGTGCCGCTAAATAATAATTTTCCATTAAGTAAAAGTGACATTGCCCCTGTGCCCTGTGGAATATGACCTGAATGGAACTAAAATCAACCGAGCACCAAAAGAGGTCAATATCCGACCATGGTGGAGTGGAAAGACAAGGCGACGAGGTGATGTGACACCGTAGGACTGCGAAAGGTTTGCAAAGACTGTTCAGTTGGTGTCATCCAGGTGGGGTGACCTTCACTTCCTTTTCCAACTGCAAGAAAAACATTGCTGACATGTATAATTAGCTACCGCTAGCAGATCATCTCAGTTCTTGCACACGCACGCACGCACACACACACACACACACATCTTGTGTTAAATTTAGCATGGCTAAAAAACACCTTCTCATGTCAGGAACTGTACATCATGGTCAGCTAGGCTTCCTCCTCTCTGTGGCTCAAAGCTGCTGCTGGAGGATCTCCACCTTTCCGCAGACTTGTGTTTATATCTTACAAAACCATAAGGGGGAGGTTGTTATGGTAATATAAAACATGATCAAAGTCTAAAACAATTTGTTATCCACCAACAATTTATTGATAATGTACTTCTTTTATTTTAAGAAAAAAAACCGTCATTTAAATATCCAAGTCGTAACGATCCTGAGGCAGAAATAAAACTGTTTATTTTGTTAATCATGGAATCCTTTTACTTTTCCAGAATTCAAGACACACCTGAGCTTTTCTTCTTGAAGCTCAAAGAGAAACATTTTTGACAGTTTTTGTATGTCTTTATGTCAGCACAAGTCGAAGGTTTTCTAACTGTAGATGTGGGTCGGCCCGAGAGGAACCTGAATAACTAGCAAAGCGTCTGTAGGCTTTTCACCAACTTGACAAATAACTCGACACCAAAATGTACATTTTGCACTTTAATTCCAAACGTTTTCAAAGCAAATTGTTGTGATTAATAAGAATCATTCCACTTCCACTAGAATTAGGGTCAATTTTTGAGTAATGACTTTTTGATACTTCATCAAGATGTGAGGGTAAGAGAACTCTGCTCTGTATTGATATATTCCTGACTGGACAGTCCAATCAAATCTGGACACACGAGTGCAAGTGTCTATTGATAGGGCTTCAGTATGGTTTATTTGATCAGAACCATTGCAACTGCACATCTGAATCTATCCGCATACCTCTCCTCATCACCATGTTCTTGAGCTAAGTGATGATCCTCAGCTTTCCCAAAAGAAGCTCTGCTCATTGCTTCCCTGGAAATCCCTGAAGCGTTTCCTCTCTGCTGACATGCATCACAAACGACAAAACAGCTGTCCTGATTGCAAAGTGTTAGCACAAATGAAACATGAGGCAAAAATGCTGTAACAAACTAGCCCCTGATCTTCTGTACATGTGGTCCTAAACCTGACCTCAAATACAATAATGTATCCCTTTTTGTCTTGCCCAACCTGAATTAAATACTTTTTCACAAGGGACACAAGTAATGGTAACAAACACGTTGAACTGGTGCTTCACATGTTATTTTACACTTACCATAACCCTGAAATAACCCATTGACCCCTGTACTGTAAACCACATCCTTCTAAAAATGACTTCATCAGAAAGAAGCCTGGTGGGGAAAAAACAAAAACAAGACTGCCCCCTTGTGGATAAGCAGGAAAACAGTGCATGCTGCTGCTACCAACAGATAATAAAGCAGTAAAATAAGGCTTTCATTTATACATCAAACACTTCATAATTGCAATTAGCACTTTACAGTTCACCACAAACAACTGAAAATGTTACAGATTTCTCAGCACTCACTATTTTACAGCATGAAGGGAAATTGGCATGGTATTGTCCCAATCACGTCAAGCAGAGGAAGAAAAGATGCTCTTTTCTCCCCTTTTAAATTTGATTAAGCCAGACATTGTGTCTCGCTGAAAGAGAGAAAAATAAATGATAACGAAAAGTGATCGATTGAGATCTCAGTAGATGAAGAGGACTCGAGTGCGGGGCAGGGTGGACAAAGGTTCAGCTCTAGCTACACTTCCACAGGCATCTGACTTTCTTTCATGGCTTTTAAAGTTGAACATCTAAAGATTTCAAATGGCATGACGTTCTCCCAGTTCAATCAGAAGTATAAACATTAAAGGGGCTATATGTAACTTTCAAAAATACTGCATTTGTAGTGATACCGCATGGCCGTCAGGTGAACTACAGCAGTAACCTGTTGCTCGCTCTCCCTCGCATGCTTGTCATACGTGCTCGTACGTACACAAACGAGCATCATCATCGGCCGCGAAACACTGGATATTTAGCGGCATAATGTTTACAGAGGAGGTAAGTGGTCATACACATGTGAAAGTCTGTGAAGGAGTCTGTGTGTCTGTATTCATTCTCAATCCTACAAACGACAGTCTCTGCAGGCACTGGCTGAGAGCAGGAGTGTGTGATGAGTTTGTCCGCCTTTGAGAGCTCTTAGAGTGGATAGAAGTGTGTGGAAGACGGCCTCTGGTTGTAGCGGGAGTGTGTGATGAGTTTGTGCTGTTGATCTCTGTAAGCGGAGCGGAGTGAGGAGGAAACGTTGAAAACATGTATAAAATGTCACTTCCTGGAGCTTTCGCGGAAAATACGACCCGTTGAAACTTTTTATACAGTCAACACAGATACACAGTGAACATCTACTTTTTCACATCAGTTAACCGTTCGCTTATTAATGGGCGATAAAAACGATTTATTCATGTAAAAAGTTACATATAGCCCCTTTAACAACTGCTTTTGAAAACATCTGGTTCTTTGAAGAAAAAGACAAGACTGTGGGAATAAAAATATCAATAACTATTTTACTATCACATCTTCTGCTCCCGATGTACGAAGGTAAGTAAACGTATTACACCAAGGATAAAAACCCTTCTTTAGATTTTAATGCAAAATACTTACCCAAAACCAGGAAGACCCACCACAGCCAATACTGTCCATCAAAGTAACCAGGGAAGTATGTGGAGAACTGTGGAGAACACAACAGAACAATAGAAACGACTGGTTAGAATAAATATGGCCTCAGCTGGTTTCCCTCAAATGAGTCTTGCATTTTAAAAGTTAAGGAATAAAGCGGCAACATCTCAAAGAGATCTTTGAGGAAAACTGTGCAGCACCAACGAACCAACCACTACAAAAAGAGCATTAAATATCAGAGTGGGGCTAATGGCTTGTTTGTGCATACATATAACCACATTTTATGAGTCTCGTTGTGTGTGATGTGTTTGTGCGTATATTTGGGTTATATATGTACCCTGACTATTAGGATCCATTTGATGAGAGAGAGCCCGAAGCCTGAGATGGCCCCGTAGCGGCCGGCTGCTGAGGTGGTCAGACAGAAAGACAAGAAGAAACCGATCCAGTTGAACAGGAATGCCACTGGGGGAAGGATTGAGGGAAAACAAAACTAAGCGTTAGACATTTCAGCAGAAAAAAACAACAACCACAAACTTATCAGCAACATACTTTATACAAGATAGAATGTAATTTCTTCATTAAAATAAAGACGAGAGAAAATCCTATGACTAGATTACTAGGGTTACTTACTGAAAAAGGTAAGCATGAAAATGCCATCATTTCCTATCCTCAGCTGATCAGCATCTTCAAAGTCATCTCTGGTAACAAAGTCTTCATCCTGCGACCGAGAAGATTGAAAAAAAAGAGAAAAGAGTCAGCTAATTGCACACTCAAACAAATTCACCACAGCACAGCATGACAGTAAAAAAAACTCCAAAGAAAGTCCCAGAGACAGATTTGACTGTCTGTGTTCACACATGCAGCTCATCCCGGAGGCTTTAGGAGTTTTTCAGGAGTTTTGTGCAAGTGTGAACAAGGCTTATGAAACGGTTTCCAGCCTACAGATCATTCAATTTTGATGAGGTTTCTTTTTACTTCAACATGCTAAAAAAATGTTCCATAATTCTACAGGTACGTGAAGTGACTGAGAAATCTAAATCAAGCACAGGTAAGCCACTTCTAGCAGAAATCAAGAAAGTATGCAGACAACAGACAGAAAATACAACACAACCACAGAAAAGACTATGTGAGACCATCACAAGACAGCAAACTAATCTAATTACACGAGTTACAGTTTGCCCAAAAGTCTGGGGTCAAATCCACTGTAGGACTTCAAAAAAAGCTAGAACATCCTGTAAGACTATCAACTAATCACTAACTAGCACTCTATATACACAAACACACAATACATGTGGGTGTGGGGCACACATAAACAAAGTAGGTGCTTTACATTTGTATTCACACACCAAACAAGGACCAAATACACTTCCCACTCCTTCCAGTTACCTCTAGTGAACTGCGAATTACATCGTCAAAAGTCTCCAGGCGTTCCCTGTGCTGAGGCTGCTGCTGAGAGCAAGGCAGTGTGTGGCAGAGAAACACAACACCAACAATGAAACAGAGTGGCCACAAAATGCAGTCGCAAGGCATCACAGTAGCCACTAGAGGTCAGAGCTGAGCGGTCAATTAGTCAATACAGATATTTCAGCTTTTCCTTTCAACCTGTCACAGTAGCTTTTAAAGACACATCAGGGATGGTATGTACGAATAGATTGTTTATGAATTGAAGTTTATGTTCATAGACGATGATGTGCTTCACCTTTTGTAAATACAAATAACTGGAAAGGAGAGGGTTCCCATGTGTACAAGTTTTGTGTTAACAAAAGAAAACAGATGTTTCCCCTAGAATTAGAGTTCTTAAAGCTTTGATAACTATATATTAGACAGAGATAGATAAAGAATCATTATAAATGCTGTTGGAGTTTTTTTTGTTTTTTTTCAATTTAAAGAATAAACCTGCTTCAAAATAAAAGTCAGTTTCCTCCTCGACACCTGGAGATTCTTTTAAAGTGCTAAAATGTCAACCTTGTCGCCTGTGTGATGACTGAAAAAAAGAAACAAAGGAGCTGAATAGCAAAACAATGTCTGGATTTTACACTGATTAACCTTTACCTCCTGTCAATGAGGACTGATGTGAGGAGCTGGTATTGTTTGTGGTAGCAGTAAAGCAGGCACCAAAAAAAAGACACAGTTTTCAAAGTAAACATACAGCTTTGTTCTTTCCGTTTTGAAGACAAAACAAACACATTCAGTTTCGAGGTGCTAAGCACTTCCTGCCTTGCAAACTTCCAGCTTGAGCACAAGTTCTAGTGCATGTCTGGGTGTGAGTGTACTGTGTGATTCAATGTGACTAAAGCCAAAAAAAGAGAGAGAAAAGTGATACACTCACTCTTCCTGTTACCAGAGGAACAGCAGTCTCAGCCTTGGTTCTTTCTGCTTCATCATAAGAGGGCAGAGTAGTCGCCACGTTGTACGATGGAGGCTTGGGGAAAGCCCCATCTTCCTTGTAGTCAAAGAAGGCTGAAAAGGAAAGAGAACAGATTCAAACAAAGGTACAAACCTCCTGAATACAAAGTCTTGCTTTGAATTGACTGTCAGCAGCTGACTGTTTAAAGCATTGTAAATAACTGACAAAACTGAAGCAACCACATAACATGTCTTTTTCAAAGTTTATAGTCCCCAGGTCTTTAAACATTTATGTTCTGCAACAGCACTGTCATAAAGTGTTGCCTTCATTACACCCTTGTACTTGTACAAAGCCACCCTAATGGCGTAATATTAATGTCCCAGTGTGTACATTCACATTGCAATTTGGCATTGTGGTTGCGCGAGAGGCAGTGTCTGAGCACACAGCTTCACATGAACACACGCTCAGCACTTTTCCGCCTTGCCAGCTCCAACATTACATCACAACATTCTTCCCCCCCCTTTACGCCTCTGTTTCTACCTTCAATGGCGGATCAGGGGCGAGCGACTTTACCCTATCATTCCACATGTGGTACACATTGCACGCGAAGCGAAACAGAGGCGTAAATATTCCGCCTTCAACTGGCTCTTTGTAAGCACCAACTGAAGAAGCTCTTCAATCTGGAAATGTTTCGACGCTTGAAAATATCTGAACAAGAGTTTCCTACTAACATACCCAAAGAACTCAGTGATCTAATGAGATTAAAATGAATGCATCGTTTTAGTCACTGAAGATATGTTTCACTGGCTCTATAGCTCACATGTTGGTTTCAAATAAGACACGTGTTCAGTATGAAGGTTCAACTTGTATGAGTCAACTATTATAACTAAGAGACTGCCTATCCAGCTCCTCTAGAAAGAACGAGTCCTCATGGGAATGAGAATATTTAAACATTTGAGGAACTGGTATCCAACTATAGTGTACTCTGTAAACACCTTTTGAATTATTTACAGCTCAGGAGCTTTATTAGATCTAATGAAATCAATCTCTGTGTTTACACTTAGAAAAATGATATATACACTCAAAGACAAACAAGAAGTATTTCCTATTTCTCTACAGTATATCTCAGGGATAATGATTGATCTCATATGTTGGATGAGGCTGGTTAAGATTATTATCTGTAATAGAGATCTATTTGTAATAGCTATATATCTGTGGAATATTGAGGTTTTACCATCCAATAATATGTTCACTCTTTGATTTGTTTAAGTTCTCAAAATACTGCTGCTAATACTATTATACCATTTTGAATATGGAATATTCGTATCAATTCGTCTTATGTAAAACTGTATATATACGTGTTTTATTTGTGTTTCTTGTAAATGGAATGATTTAAGATTGATTATTAAATGCTATGTATATGTTTTATGTCAAGCCTCCTCGAGGGACTTATTGGGTGAAACACCAGTGAAGAGAGGTTCCCCATCTGACCATCCGGTGATGATCTGGCTCTCGCTTCCCATCAGTGTATCATACGGTTGAGTTGTGGGGGGCCAACAGGGGCCATGTGGTAGGGTAGGTACAATCAGCGTTGTCACTACCTGGCTAGCTCGCATAAACAGAGCCTGGGTCTTTTGAAGGTGGCAATGCTGTTTTGGTAGTCGTGGTTTGTTATGTAACTTATCAGGAGGGCAAAGTGGCATAATTGGATTGGAATTCACTGAGCGCTTATCCTTTCATTAGGGCACAAGTACCATGTGTTTATTTAATTAAAATGTTATGTATTTTCCATTTTTGTAAGTTGAATTTACTCTTTAGAATTTAAGATTGCTTAATAAATGCTTTGTATACGATTCCATGTGTTTGAAGCCATAAAGAGTGCACTGCTTATATATACTGTATACCCCTTATGATGCTTTCATTTCTTTGCTTGCTTATATGCCTTCATTGTTTTTGTAGTCCACACTCATTGATTGTTAACATCCTCCAGAAATCCTATACGGATATGTTTCCTCAAGTTCTCCCTGTGTAAAACACATATATGACTCCCCTATTCCACCAAAGCAAATTACCTCGGCACCAGGGAAACATCTGGGTGAATTAGGGACTTACCAGCATTTTCTGCAGTGACGCTGCTGTATGGGGGTGGGGCATCAGCTGCTACCTGTGGACTCTCCTCTGGGTCCTCCTCATTTGGCAGCTGAGAGAGAAAGAGAGAGAGAAAGAGAGAGAGACAGAGAGTGAGAGACAGAGAGAGAGACAGAGAGACAGACAGAGTGCGTAAGAGAGAGAAACCACATCCTGGTTTATTTAAGGCTACACTGCACAGGTGGCAGGCCTGGCTGCTTTCCATTTGAAACAGATGAGGTAAAGAAGTTTAAGTGTAGTGTATATATTTTCTATTTTTGTAAAAAGAGATCATTGCAACACTCTGGTCTTCTTAAACACTACCTGAATAACAAAGAGTATATTAAATGATCAGAGAAGTGTGATGGAAAATTCAAACAGGAAACACACGAGCAGGGGAAACACAGTGTCTATAACTTTAAAGACAGAGTCTTGACTGAACTACAGTCTTTACCATTGATTCCGGTTAACAAGATTAAGCCCATTTTGATTAACTAACACTTAACCCAAGTCTCAGAAAATAACTCTGAGATAAAGCTGAATACCAAGCAGTAGATTTATTCCTGGGTTTTGATTTCATTTAACACTTGAGCCAATGCTCAGAACAATACTAAGGTAATAGAGTAGACGAGAGTAATAGCAGTGGTTATACCTAACTTGGTCTGCAGACATTAGAAAGAACTTGAGTATTTAATAAAGTCTCATGTTTTCTTTCTTTAAATCTCTTCAAAGAAAACTCGTTGTGAATGGGGACTGTGGTGACAGGTGACTGGCTACAAGTAGGCCTACATTAAGTTAACTCTTATTACTTGCTGGCCATACCCAGTGAGTCCTTTAGAAAAAGAAAAAGGTAACTTTAAAACACAACATATTTTACATTTGTCTTCAAAAAACGAGTTTTAAAACAAACAGTCCACCAAATAAAAAATAAAATAAAATGGATGGAACATAAAAGCAGTGTAACACCAATTTGGCCACTTGGAAATTTTGGATGGCATTTTTTTTATATTTTTTTTGGATCAAACAATGAAGAATATCATCTAAATAAATCAAAAATAAATGTTAGTAACAGCTCTAACAAGAGTCCTCGTCACATTATGTAAACAATGACAACAATGCTTGGTATTAATTATGACTAAATCAAAGAATGTATCATGACATTTTTCTGGAAAAAGTGGGGGCTTTAACCAGCTTTCACCTAAGTCAATGTGTCACTTTTAGCACTATCTCGGTGTCCATTTACTAAAAAACAGTAGGCCTGAAAGAAAAGAGCTCAGCCCAACCAAAACACAGCTAGCTAAGCTACCTGTTTAACTAAATGGAAACGACACACCCACTGTCGGTCATGTGCTACACAGACATTTCCATAAGCATGTACTAACACACACAGGACAGATAAGAGTTCAGCTTTTAATCCCAGTAAAACGCTTAATAGCTGGCAAACAGTAAAACCTAAGACACCTTAGAGACAAACATAATTAAGTTAACATTCATGTGACGTGAGGTTGATAACCTTTCAAGCTAGCTAGCTAACTGGGACACGTTAATCTACTTTTTTTTTTTTAGGTTAGCTTCACCAGGTGAGCATCTCGTGATCTCTCATAATAATAATAATAACCCGAGTTAATTGACGATAATGGCGTCACTCCAGAGAGTCTAGAGAGTGTGAGCTTCCGTAAGTTAAGCGCCAGCATAATGACAAGTAAACATCCATAACGTGAACGTCGTGATACATGTTTAACGTGTTTTCGCTTTGTAGATAAGATTTCTGATAGTTTATCATACCTGCTGATACCTGGCGCTCGGCTCGGCCATTCCGGTCTGACAATCAACAACTGAGAAATGTAAACGCCGCCGAAATCTAGAGAGAAACCCCCCACAAAATTATATAACTGTACAAACTGTGAAGTGAATCCACGCCACAATGAAAACCTGTTTCACCCTCGACTCGACTCGACTCGACTGCTCAGTGTTTGTCACACCACTGTCAAGCACGGAGGGTTGTTTAGCGTAACACATTCCACTTCCTGTTTGCCTTTCAAAAATAATGTTCAAAATGAGACGCGAAAGTCGTTTCGTTGTAATTACTGAGTTATTATTGGTGAAGTGATTAGTATCAATCATACCAATGTGTTTTTTGTTGTTTTTTTTCTTGGCTACTTCTGTGTTATGTCAACATTTTTGGTGAAATAAATAAAGAATTGCTTTTATTTTGAAACCTGATCTAACCATTTCTTATGTCGTATCTTAGATGTCACTTTCTTGACGCAGTCATTACTCGCCACTTTGATTGACGTCAATGGTCAAAACAAACCCTCCTCTGCTCCCATTTGAAACGAAGCGAAACAACAATTAATATTATTGAAACGCTAAAAATAAAATAAATCTCATTTTATATAGGCTACCTTCATCAGGACTGCAAATAAAGGTTGATTTGGCTGAGAATTGACACTGACACCCAGCTACATGCATTTACATTAAGGTCAATTAAAGTAGGCTATATTGAGTAGAAGACACCACAAAACACGTCTAAAAATCCAAATTACAGCTGTGTATTAACCATTGGCATTTTATAAAGCCAATAGTTTGGATAGGACGTGACAGGGATATATATCAGGTGTGAAGAATATTGTAGATCCAGATCATTTGAATAATAACAAATATAAAACATAATGAGAAACAATTCTAACATCACTGCTACATGCAAGGTGTTAAGTTTGAAGATCATACTGAAACTGAGATTTGATAAAGAATAAACTTGTTTAACCTACTCTTTAACATTTATGTCATTATAAAGTGAAGAAAAGTGAGAAACTGAAAAGAGGTCAATACCTGCATTCAGGTATTTGATCGCAATTTCCAAACGTTGAGAGTAACTCATGAGCAGTCAGTCAAAGAGTAAGCAGTAGCATACATAACTCATTTATGTACCACTTACTATGATCTTTAATCTTCTCTCAGAATTGGTTTCATTGTGCAATAAGAACAAGTGAATCAGGGTCTTGTAAGGTTTTATTGTTTCTTAATCTAAAATAAAAAGAACACAACAATACCTGCGACACTTTGTATGCGAGTTCAAGTGTTGGAGAAGTTAAATCTGAAATGAATTTCTAATTACGTTTGGGAGGGTTCTGGTATTTCAGAAGCACAGGGTAAGTGGTGCCTATGTGCTTCTGGTTGTAGTGGTGGCAAACAATCTCCACGTCGTAGTAACTGAACTGGACTTTGACACGCTCGTTGGGTGAGCTGAGGAAACAGAGGGTGTAGAGGGCGAACTCAAACTCCGGGCTGACACCGATGAAGATGCTGCCTTTGGGCTTTATACCGTTCTTCCAGCTGAACTGTAGCGCCAGGATGTGTTTGTTCTCGTCCGGCTGCAGTGAGAGAGAGAGAAAAGAGATAAATTAGTGATGAGGGAGCAGTGGAGAAGGGGGGTTAACGGATGAAGAAACATGTAGGATGGTTTTAAAAGATTGATCAGTGCGTTCTCTACATTCTGAGAGGAGTGTACATAAAAATCTTTTCTTCATCTCATATTTTGGACTTTGTGTCTCACAATTAAAACCAAGTGTCTCACAGCTTAAGCTTGTAAAGTCGTAGCATGACTTTGAACATGTGTAATACATGAAGCTGCATTAAGGACTAGTGAGAAGTGTAGAAAAGGGTTTATAAAATAATGCAGTGTTTCAAAGTACAGGTGGCTCCGTCTGTAATCATACTAAAAATGTGTTTTATCTAACTGCAAATCGTTTCAAGTTTAAACCTTGTAACAGAAGCCACAGGGAGTAAAGATGTCACTTTAAAGCTGTGTGCACATATGATAATCCCCGTTTTTGTTAAATTTACTTAAAGATAGCCCCAGATAATCCCATACCTCAACACATATATCAAGCAAGAAGCAAAGTACTGAACACCAAACATATTGATTCTCAAGCTTTAAACACCTCAGAGGCTAAATTCAAGGGTTTAGGTGAGAAAGACAAAATTCAGGGAGCGAACGTGGTCTTAGCCTGAAGTTAGGTTCATCATCTATGTGCTTCTGTGTGTCTTCCTATTATGATTACAGTACGTGATTTTGGTATGACAGATTTTTTGTATGTATGTGGTTATGATTGTGATAACTTTGTTGTTTTTGTTTACTCTAACTCACAACTCAAAAAGTATGTTGCCTTAAAAAAACAAAACTGTGAAAATGTTGATTTCCCATGTCGAACAGGAAGATAAATATCATTTTATGTATTGACTTGATACATGAACGTCTCTCATGTTGTACATACATATACAATTCACATTCTTTTACTATTTTGGTGCATTTTAATCAAAGCTGGGAAAACAATGACATCATACCTGAGGTGAATTTGCATTGACACTGTAGCCTTTATAGTCAATGTGTCCCAGCTTTTCTTGGAGGTAGAGCTGGATCCAGTTGTGAAAGCCAATGACTGTTCGCCTGCCTCTCGTCTCTCCAACAAACACGTGCTCAAACCCTGAGGAGTCTGGCCTGATGGGAGTTAGAGGGGAAAACATGGGACCACTTACAGATTTGCTGATTCATTGTTATTCTTATAATCTGCTCCACGCTCAGAATCTGAAAACTCTGCATCAAAGAGGGTAACCGAAATTGAATGGAGTCATGTGCGACCAGGGCCAAATCACTGTTTTGTAGCAACATTTCATCTTGGACATGTTCCACTCAAAGTGATGAAGTGAACTGAACGTGCTACACGGAGGCAGTTTCATAGTGTGGGACGGTTACCGTCTAAGTGCCAGATTCCACTGGTGAAGTGATATTTAGGTCCACCCACCTGCTGGATCCTCTCCTCGCATAAAGTTCAAACCAAATTCTGTTCAGCTGCTCCTTGAATTTTGTGTTATCTGCCGGAGAGAGGTTCTTCTCTACCAGGTATTTATGAGCAATCTGCAAACAAACAAGAACTTCCTGTCAAACGTATGAGTCTTGTACAAAGTGACACTAGTAGCTTAAGGGTTAGCTAAATCATATTGTGAGACCACAAGTTTATATATGTATATATATAGATATATTTATATAAGCCTACATGTAAACCTAATTGATTTACTGATTTGTTGACTCCCTGAAGAGCCAATAGCACTTTATTACTTTCTGCCCAACATTGTTCACAAACTTATAACTTGAAAAAAAACTTGAATCTTTTACCATGCTAATATTAGCATTTAGCTGATGGCAAAGCTGTGTCTGCGTAAAAGCTCTCAGAGGCACTATTGTAGCTGTCGACTTTGTCTTATTGTCCCGACCCAACCATTAAAAACCTTGGAGCAAAACTGGTCAATTATCTGCATTCATTGTTCTGCAAACACTGCATTGCTTGTCTGTTGGGTACGGATACTACCTCAAGGTGTCTAAGATATGATAAGAACATAACAACAACAGATGTGTTCTGTTTATACCTCTCATTAATACTTGATTGAAATGGGCCTTTATGAGGCACAACAAGAGAGGAGGGTTTGTTTTCAAATGTGCCCACAGGTACCTTCATGGTGGGAGTCTGTATGATGAGGTCCAAGAACTTGTGGTTCTCTGCCACCTCCTCCGGGGTCACAATTTCTGGCTCACCGGTGTCGCTCTCATAGTTATCCAACAGGGAGATAAAGGCTGCAGAAACAAACACAGACACTCTTCAAAACGTGGTTTAGTCAAACCGCCTGGGATCAAATTAGATTTTTCAAAACATAGTACTAAGTGCAGTCCAGTCCCAAGAAACGTGACAACAGTGACGCTGATCACAAAACATCAAACTCAGAATAGTTCAGACAGAAAGTGTCTTAAAACCCAGATTTATGTGTTTACTGTGATACTTTTTGTTTTTTTAAATGTCTTACCAGCTCAGAGAATTAGGTGAAGGACAGTAAAGCAGACTGCTAAAGGCTGAGCAAACATAACAAATAACAAGGAGGTAGGAATACTCCCCCTTTTCAATGGAACAGCAGCCTCAGGGTGAACTCTGAATACAAACTATTACATAACCCAACGGCCTTTACAGCTCGGTGCCAGGGTATGATTCCTCTCACAAGCTATAGAAAATAATTCAGTATCACTAGATGAAAAATTGCTGAAAGGAAGCTTCAGCTGTTATTTAGAGGCTGAAGGGGGAAGCCGCTGATTGGGGAAACATCTTTGTCTGCACGGCGCAGTGAACTCAGCGTGCTTTGTGCTTATGCAACATGCCACTGTTCGTCATAAGGAGATTATCAGTAGATGAAAAGGCTTTACTCTGACGGGGGTGAAATGTGTGAAGAGATCAAGACAAATCAAACACTTTCTGACACAGTGCAGTTGTGCAGCAAGCAGTAACTAATACCTCACCCAGAACATCCAGCTGTTGGCTGCAACATCATGAAGGAATATACAAATCATGGGGGTTTTGTAGATTTAATTTATAAAATGAATGTGTGTAACTATCCAAAAACAAAAATGTTCCTTTAGCCTCATGCACTTACCTAAAAATGTCTCCTTCTTGAAAATGTTCTCATCGACAAATGTAAAAAGAGGGTATCCTGCTCCATCATTGTTGTCGTCATTCATGGCCAAGCTGTCTCCAGCTTTGCCCTGAGGAGAGAGGAAAAAGAGGAGAACCATTCAAAACTATCAACTAAGACTTGATATTTATTGGTGTTACATGTGTGAAAGTTAATACAAGATGCTGGCCAAATCTGAGCTGAGGCTCTTAAATAACTAAGTTACCATGTGAGCCACTGCAGCTGTTTTTTTTTTTTTAAGGCCAACACATGGACATACATAATGAAATACTGCAGCTAAAGAGAGCGGTGTGGATCTGGGACTGTGTGCATTGTGTACCTGCAGAGAGATCCTGTAGTCTTTCCCAGGTTTCAGTCTGTTGACGTCATTGTCCCACAGCTCCTGCACCATGGCCGACAGCTCTCTGTCACTCTCAATCATGATGTGACCTCGCTCTTGTTCTCGGTCCCGCAGTAGATGAGCTGTCGATGGTTTGGCCTTACTTTACCTCTAACAGGAGAGGGAATAGTTCATGAAGCCTCAGACCTCGAGTTGTCACAGATGAAACGTGACAGTTTAACAGTTGTAAAAGATTTGATCTATAAAGCTACAAGAACTGAGTTGTGAATTACTTTCACATCACTTAACTTGGAGCTTGATTCAGTCACTTTATATTTACAGGATGGTCTATTCATAAAGAATTCAGGAGGAACAGGGGTGAGCTGTGAGATTTAGGGAGAAGTGCTAAATGAGGAACTTGTTGTTTTTTTGTGTATTGAACTCTCTATGATGATTGATTATGGAGGGTATATGTCGTTCACAAACAATGAAGTCTTTTTTTGTACAGACGATCAAACATAGGAATTGATTTTGTTGCTGTTGTTGCAGAGCTTGCTAAAGCCCGGAGGGAAAGTATTTATTCTGATTCCTCTGATTTTACGAGTGTCATGTTTCATGGTGAGTAAGAATTTGTGAAATCTGACATTGTTTAGGCTTTGATGGCTTTGATTATTTAGCGACCTGTTCCTATTGTAGTTGAATAAAGTCTTCCTTACTTGATTGTGAAAAACACCTAATGTCACACAAAAAATGCTTAGCTGATGCTTTAGATCCTTTGAAAGAATAATAAAATGTGTTTGAGTGCATACTTAATAATACATTCATGTAAGCTAAGGTGTTAATTAATCCCAATGAAGCAAAAAAGCTTGTTCAAGTTAAAATAATTAACCTCAAACTTTTTTAAACAGCTAAAATATTTGTATGATACTATTTGTGAGACATATATAGGCTTATGAAATGTAACAAGCATCCTTTATTAAGGGATTATAAGGCCCACATGCTGCTTCAATCCAGTCTGGACACACTTATATTAAGGAACTCTATTTAAAGCTTCACTTTTTGCACACAATCTCAAAGCCTTTAATAAAGTTGCATGTCGCGTTAGTGTGGGCCTGTGACTGTAAAATTGTTTAAAAACTAACAGCCTCCTCAGCCAGGCAGAGCTTATCTCTTTGACTCAACGCTGATGTTCCAGCACAAATCTGCTCTGCTTTTCATAGAATCATTGGCTGGCAGAATATCACACATCCATGACACTGACACAGGTGACTTCATCGTCACAGCCTGAGCCCTAACAGGCCACGATCAATTAGACCCCCCACAACAAAATCTACTGACCTTTTTCCTTCGGAGTCTGTTCTTGTCTGTTTGGTTCGGCGAGGAGAGAGCGATGAGTGATTTTAGGGTAACTGAAGCTCCTCAGTGTTGACCAGGTGCTGCTAGTGATGGTTTCCTGTGTTTGTGAGAGCAGGTGTCTTTACGGGCATAGTAACAGTTCGGGCAGTCTGTCGGTCGGTGTGTGGAGAAAGACAGGCAGGGGCTGCAGGGGGGGGGGGAGAGGGGCCATTTTAAAGGGTTATCCCCTGTCAGCAACTCTAGCCAAAGGGATTACACCATGTTGTCGTTCCTTTTCAATCTCAGGCTTCAACGTGGGCTCTTTGTTTCTTTAGTGTTTCATTGTTTTCTCTCTGTCACAGCATAACCTCTGGATTACAGGGTAAATATGGGTCATTTTGCAGGTAAGAAGATGATGTAAAGGCTTAGACATACTGTATACTTCACAAACTAAAGACAAACACATCTCTTAATAATACATTAAAACACTAAATCTTGGTTTAATCATTTGGTCTCGACCAAATAAATCAGCAGCAAAACAAGGCTAGTGCTGTTTGTGAACAATATGGGGGGTAAGAAAAACCTTTTATACTTCAACAAGGTCCACCTTCTACATTAAAGTCATAATGCTCTTGTTTTCTTTGTTAAAACTTGTCAATCCATGACTCAAAATCTGTCCTTTTTTGATGAATCTTATAAAGAAAATGGTATTAAGATGTTAATATGGTAACTTTAATTACATTTTTTATTAAATGTTAGATAATAAGAATGTCTTATAGAAAACAATCTGGGCTCAAAAGTGAAGAAGTCTCTGATTTTTCATGAGAAAGGGAGACAAAGATCAAGCCAAGCTTTAAAATGTGCACAGTGACGCTTCCTGCGTGTCTGCTATGAAATTATGTTTCCAACAACTAAATGGCAATTTTGTTTACATCACTTATTAAATACTACGTCCAAGGTAACATGAACATATTTAAACTGTATGATCAGAAACTTGATGGCTTCATGGGATTTAGCTCTGACTTTACATCCTATACAGCTCTCAGGTGTTTAGCTGTGTAGTCATATTTTTGCTTTCCCTTTAAATAGGAGTTTAACTTTAAGAATAAGAAACATCAACTTAATTGTTTTATTAAAGCTAGACAACTTTTTTCTCTCATGATTTTTCCTTCTGACATTGACGGAAAATATGTCTAACTCTGTAGATTAAAATCTTTTTAAGCTTCTGCATAGCTGTGCATCTTCACCACAGACTGTGTGTAAATATCAGTAACGATCTGCACACAGTGAAAGCAGAAGTGCTGTGTCAGTTATTACCAATCTTAGACGCAATAAATAGAATAGACATCATTCTATGTTGTAACATTTATTTTGAGACAGTTTTGGGAATCGGTGAGGGGAAAAAAATCAGTGATTAAGAAGTCCACCTAGTTCTGTTCAAATAGAACTGCTTGCATCATCTGCTCCCTTTGTGAACAAACGCATAAAGAGAGAAAAACAATAAATTATACATGTTTAACAAACATTATACAAAATATTTTTTGTATTTCTAGACGTGATCAAGATACTCTTTTTCCTTTCCTTGACACTGATGTTTGGCAACCAAATGAAAAGATGAGTTGTAAAAAGCAGGTTTTGAATAAATCCAGCCCGTTGGCTGTTATCGAGCTGTCACCTCGCACCGAAGTCCCGAACAAAAACACACCATAATGACAATCCCCGTTACCCAATCAGAGGATCTGCTATATGCATAATACTAGAACTCATTATGAACCCATTTCCCACAACCAATCTCATTAAATTCCACTTCTTAACCCACCTAGCTTTTCTCACAAGACCTTCACAAAATGTGTTTGAATGAACTCATCATAACAACACTTTGTACAGAGCACTCTGTGAGTCAGGAAAAGCTTCCTAAAGCTGTAACAAACAACAAAACCCAAGAAGTTGAAGAAGATGAAATCTAAGTGGAGTAACGAATCTTATCCTTCGTTTTATTCTGTATCATTATTGCATGTGTATGATCCTTTTACTGGATCATAAAAATATATTTAATTATTCACACTCAAGTTTATTTAAAGTTAATTTATCTTTTTCCTTGTTTTGATGTGACTTTCTAAGTCAGGCAAAGAATTGTTTCGTTAAATATTTGAAGAGGTTTACTTTTACCACTATTACCACTGCTTTCTTGTTCTATTCCTTTTGAGATTAACGATAAATCTTTCCTTTCCTGATTCTTTGATATACGCAAATCTGCCATTTATGTTTCATACCAAAAGCTGTCTTTCAAGTGTTGAAAAACGCTAACATTGGTACACAGCTGTGTAAAAAGACATGTAGTGAGAGCCAGAGTTAAGGTGATGGTAACGTGAGATAAAGTGCATTGAGATGGAGCATACAGCTGTAAGGCTCTGCACTGTAGTCAGTCCTCCTCATCGCTCCAGAAGGCATCTTCTTCTTCGAGATCCACACCCTGAAAGAGTCTGCAACAGGCGAGAAAAACACATTACACCAAGCCTCCAGAATGGCAAATGACTGAAAAAAAAGACAAGAAACACATCACTCACTGGCTGTAACACGGCGAGTTGGGGTTATTATAGTGGCTGTATGGGTTGACTTTGCTGAGCAGGCCCTGACACAGCCAACAGAAGTATTGTCTACAAGAGGTACAGGTCATCTTGTTACAGCCATCTGCTTTCTTTTGGAGACACAGAGACAAAGGCAGAAGTTAAAAAGGACCAGAAATGAGCAATACGGAGTACCTGGGACTAGGCATAGGAATCTTCTGGAATAATACAGATTAGACAATAAATGTTTTCAAACAACTGATTATCAGTCATTTTAAAGCAGAATCATTGTTTATCTATTAAAGGCTTTCCTCATTATGTCTTTAATAAAAGGTATAAAAAGAAATGCTCCTACTAAAAACTAACAGTAGAGTGGTTATAGCCTGTTGTACTGGCCTATTGCCAGAAGAGGGAGCCCTACCTGAATATTGGTTCCACAGCGAGGGCAGGATTTGCAGTTCTCATTGAGCCAGTCTCTGCTAAAGGATTCTTCCACTGCTTTCTGGATAACCCTCTTCCCAAAGCGTTGTTCCATGAACTTTTTCCCCTCGTTTGAGGCCGACAGGTACTCGTCTCGGAGGTTACGTAATTCATCTGTGGCACAAGACATAAGTAGGGACAGCTGTTTTAACCGGGGGTGGGGGGGGGGGGAATAAATCAGGATTTGGAAGGATAAAATCTGTTGTATGTACCGGTATAGAAAAAAATATATTACACAAAACCATTGGAAAACCCTACAAACCATTATTATTCACAATCTCTTGACTCCATAATGAACCTTAAGTATGATTAAAGGTCAAAATGGAACATCACAACTTTTCATTCAGTTTATATTTATGTTATTTGTTATATATTGGAATTTCGCACATTTTATGAATCACAAACGTATTCTCAATTTCACAGAGTCTAGCATCAGAACAAAACAGGAGAATGACCTGTGTGAGAACTTTAGGATAAATACATAATTGTATATACTCATACCTTTGAACTTAACATTTGTTCAGTAATAATTTTGAACAATTAGGTTAACTCTTTAGAAACAGATTCAGGGCACATTATTGGTTCTTTATGATATCCTGAGGAACAAATTGACATTTAGTTGAAATGAACACAACACACAATATCAGTTTCATTCAAGTCATCATTAATGTTCGCAGCCTATGCCTTTTAATATTTATGTAATAGTCTTCCTATGTTTAACTCCCTTCAATGTTTCTGGCTTCAACTCATATTCAGAGACAGGAGAACATGAACTCATAAGAATATGTTGCTTCACAGAATTATAGCAGAAAGTCTTTTCCTGTTTCTGTTTTTCCATTTTTCTTGAAACACAGCAAAGGTTCCAGATGGCCGCTAAATTAAAATTTGTCAATATATAATTAAACAATGCTGACACAACAAATGCTCTTCTCTTGCTACCTTAAATTACAAAATGACTGTTACATGCATCGACATTACCTGCAGGGATTTTGCAGTTGGAGAGACCATGATAGCCCAGTTTGCACAGAGTGCAAAAAGCATATTGGCAGGCAGAGCAAATGCCCATGGTCGTGTCCGGCTCTACCATAACAGCAGTGCCACAGTGCTGGCGGGGACAGTAGACCACATCAGCCATGAGGTCCAGACTGGATTGAAGCAGCAAGCGATCATAACGGGCAAACAGCTCCTCATCCACCAGCTGCTTCACCTGAAGAAAACCAAATATTTAAAGAAATAAACAGAGTTCAACACATACTGTACCTGTACACATCTAACTGTAGCACTTTCTTACCTGCAGAGGTGTGGCTAAGGAGGTACATTTGGGCTCAGGGCAGTTAAGGCACTGAACGTTGCCATCCCGTATTTGGATCTGGAAGTATTCAGTCATGCAGGCTTTGCAGTAGACATGTTGGCATTCCTTAAAGCACAGGCAGTTGGAGCCCAGCTTCTCCACAAAGCAAATCCCACAGCAGAACACCTTGCCGTCAAACACTCTCTGGCGCTGTGCCTCATCAAAGTCCAGGAGCTGAGGTAGGAGGTCGGCACGTGGGTCCATCAACAGGACAGCCCTCGGGTCCAGATGAGAAGTTGAAGACAAATTCAGATCCAACTTTTTCTTCTTCATTTCTATTTTATTCTCCTCTGAGTTTTCAGACGGACTCCCACATTGTGCCACAGCTGGACAAAGTTATAAATTTATATCAGAAATGTGATTAGAAATATTTCATTTTTCAACATTTTAACAAAAGTGTGGTCTTTACAGACACTTTAATTCAATTCAAAATTATTCTGTGTTGCAAATGTTTTGAATAACTTAACGTAAATTTACAGAGGACTCAAACATTTGTCACAATGAAAAATCAGGGTGAATAAATGTTTTATATGCTACACCAAGCTACTCTAAACTCTCAGCCCATCTTCTTCCAACGGAACAACACTAATAGAAGTGACAACCTTGATGCTCTTTCAACTTTTAATGACAAAAAATAACTTCATAGTGACCTTTCCGGCCCCTATGATTATTAGCGGGACATCTTAGCTAATGCTGATACAAAAAAAAACATGTAACAAATACTGTACCTGTGGCTGCTGGGTTGATTTTCCTGCGCTCACCACCTGTCTTACTTCCGGCTCTGATGACTTCAAGAGGAGACTGGATTCCCAGGAAGTTTAAAGCCTCCTCTTTGAGAAGCTGGATCCATGTGAAGAGAATCACACAGCCTTGGTTCTCCTCCCAAAGCTCATCCAGGCGTCTGCACAGAGCACTCATCTGAGGAGGCCCCAATGGAAAAGGTGAAGAAAGCATACCTCTTTCTTTGTTGAAACCAACAATTACTCTTTTAAAAGCTCAAGCCACTCAGTTGAAATTGAGTAGACTACTCGGGTGAAGATTTTATCAAATGATGCGACACAGAATTAAAGAGGCCAAAGGGAGTCTAACCTGTGTTCTGGTCATCCATTTAGAGCTGAGGGTGAAGACTGGAGAGGACGTGGATGGATAGTCTGCAGGAAGCTCAAAGTTGAGAACCAAATGAGGTAAGAAGCAGATGTTATATTCCATCTCCCTTTCTCCTGCAGCGGACAAATAAGAATTAATACAAATCTTCACAGAAGTGAGAATCATACATTTTTCTTATTATTATTAATAATAATAATAATAATAATAACAGGAAAGGAGGAGACAACAATGTAAAAGTTACACTACATTGACTCAGGCTCTGTAATAAAGTGCCTACTACACGTGACATGTGAATTTATTCATACTTTAGTTGTCCACCTTGCACTTGTTTCTTTTTTTTTTTTTTACTTCTGACAAACAGCTGTACCTTTGACAACCACTTTGAAATCAGGGGGGAGCTCCAGGAGGAGTTGTATCTCTCCCCCCTGAGCCGACTCCGCCCGGTGAAACTCGTCCTCATCATAAATACTTGTCAAAGCAAGCAACTCATCCTCCTGGGCTTCCTTGTCCTCAGACATTTACATTCCTGCAAAAAAAAAAAAAATGCGTAGAATTTTGACATTAATTATTAAGGAAATCCACTTAAAGCAAAGCAATTAAAACACGTTTACCACAAAGCTACAAGCAACACAACTTGTAACACAAGTTACAGCACACCCTTAAGCTCTAATGTGTTGATCATTTGTGACTGATAACAAAGCCCTTTTACAGAGCTAGCGAAACGCGACATCAATGATGAACATTAGTTTGTAATTACACGTAACTCTGATGTGATATAACGTCAGCCTAGCCGTGGCCCTACCTAACCAATAGGAGGCTCAAAGGTTAGGACGCTAACGCTAACTAGCAGTGAGAAACTGTATCCTTACTAGACGTGCTTGATTTGTTATGATAGTTTCACACTCGCCGAAATAACCGCGGCTGTTGCTGTAAACAAAAGCAAGCAAATGTAAACTTCCAAAGCTACCGCATTCAAAGGCTGGCAGTAAAATGTTGAAGCTAGTTTTTGGTAGCAGTGCTAGCTGATGTAAACAGTGGCTAAAAGGCTAGAGTCAGAACTCTGCTTTAACTTTTCTTCTTCGGTGCAATTTTATACTGAGTTTGGCAAAAGCTGCTGCACTCGAACACACTCGTGGCAACACCGTAAAAAAACAGTCACCATAAAGTCTTTCTCACCTTATCCAAGCCGAGTAGTAGTGACTCCTGCACCTTTACTAGTTCATGACTGGGGCAGTGTGTGTGTGTGTGTGTGCGTGTGTGCGTGTGTTTGTGAGGCAGCGCCCTCTGCAGGCGGCTTGTCGTACTACATGACTCCAGTGTAACATATGTCACAGGCTGTCACTGAAGAATGACCCCGACACCACACTGGGCCTGAGTTTAATATCTATTTAATTGTATAGTATGAATATAACACAATAAATGAATCATACACGGTTTCCTGGCAGAAAAGAGTAACATGTTGATATTCTTTTCTTTATTTTATTAATAAATAAACCTGCCAAAGTTTTTTTTTGACTATTACATTTTGCTGAAAAAGTGCATGCGTTATCTGCCGAGGGACACGGACACCTTCAAAATGCTTTTTCTGTCAAAAATGCAATAATGTTAACTATCATGGAGAAATTAGTGCCTAAGTAATCATATCATAGACCCATGATCCAGTCAATTTATGGCCGTTTTTCTTAATGCTTCAATTCATTTTTAAATATTTCCCTGTCCAGTAATCGATTTATTGACTCATCGGATACATTATTGTATTTACATTGAAATGTTCCCCAGGTAGAGATTGACCTATTTAAACCTACCATTTCCATGCTGTCACAAACAGGTGCCATGGCCATGACCACTGGACTCTTAACAAGAGATCTTCATGTCACTGAATGACATTGAAGCAGATGACCACAGTGGACAAGGCATCAGGTAGCTGTGGCTTATTCACGGCCAATATGAAGTGCAAGCCTACCCTTCAGAGGACAGATAGTGGGATCAATCGTCCTAAAAAATAAGTGATTTCTCAAAAAAAACATTCTTTTTTTCACAATATTTATTTTTGCTTTGTCATGGTTATGTGGTAACAACAGCAGAACCCAGAGGGCAATTTGTTGGACCAGCATTCACAATGACAAGTAGAAAAAAAAAAACAATACAAGGCTACCAGAGAACAACCAAAAGACCATTGCTTTTGAATGAGAAAAGCCAGACAATTAAATCCTGCATGACGTTAACTTGCAGAACCTAGTTTTAACATACAGTACAAGTAATCTCAACAAAAACCGTATCTGTCCTTTTCAACAAGAAACATCATACTCCTGCTGTTACAATTATTTGTAGTGAAAAAACGGCACTATTTTCCATGTACAACTTGTACCAATCCATGTTTGTTTACATGTGTGACTATCTGTATATCTTTAGACACAATGCGATATTTTACATTCTTGTGAATCCTGTTTGTATTACTAGATGTTTTCTGCACAGCCGCTTTACTTACAATTCTTCATAACTGACATTCTTATCTTAAATATGCTCAGAGGAAGCTGAACAAAACAATCTTTGACATGAGGACTATCAGAGCAATACAGAGTAAGAAGCTTCCATCCCACGCGAACAACTTTCAGGTCATAAAATAGTAAAAGTGAGAAAATGACATGCCGAGAAACTTATGGTTAAATCCTATTGAGAGGGGTTGCTGCTGTCTGTGTCTTCAAGAGAGTGGCTACAGCATGGTCAATAACAATCTCAGAAGATCAACAGAATTGGGCGGCGAGTAGCAGGACATACAGAGGTGAAAATCAGTGGTGGCCGCTTCAACAGTTAGTCAATGTCCATTTCAGGGAGCTTTTTCTCGGCCGTTCCCTGTCCTGTGCCTGCTGATGTGGCTTTGTCTGGGTTACATGGCTGGTTCTCTGTTCCTTCCTGCCCATTGACTGGTCCGTTCTCCGTCTTCTCCTCTTTGGGGGGCTCCACCTTGGGCTTGGATTTGGACACCACAGGGTTGCAGGCCGAATAAAGCTCCTGAGAGGGGAATCAAATGATATGTCAGAGGAAGAGTAAATTTGAGTTTTACAAAGCGATTAAATCCATTTGTACTCCTTTGTACAATGAAGGCTTGTTCTATTTTGTCACACTCCTTTTCTAATACTGAAGTGCAGCTGGTCTAAGAGGTCACAGTTCTCTCTGTTTGGGGCTGGCAGTGGTTTTACTGCTGGCTGGCTAGTTTCTAATCTCTTTATTACAGATACTACATGTAGAATCTTCACTCTGGAGTCTGGATTCTGGATTTTCGGCATCTGAAGTGTTCTGGTGTCCGTTTTTGTAGTACATTTGTAGTCCGAGCTGTATTGGCCAATTACAGCAGACTTTGGTGTATGCAGGAGAAACAGTGTTGACAGCAATAAACAAGGCCGAATGTTGTCTGCGCTTACACATACCGGCTCCCATCTGCAGTATTTAAACACTGAGTCATATCTGTCTATGACACGGATATCTGCATACAAGTGAAGCTAACAAATTAATTACAAGTCAAATATTTTAAACTTGAGCCACAAGCGTGATTGACGCTGTGTCGTGAAAGCAGATCAGTGTTTAGAATCCTTGACTACCAGAGAAGTCTAACAAATTATCAATCCAACCTGCATTCAACAAACACGCATTTCAAAAGTCTTCAGTGAAAGAAGATGACTGCAGACGGATTGAGATTGTTTAGTTCCAAAGATTTCTGTCGCTTCTTCAATCTCGTCTTAACCTATGACATTACAAAGAACGTTTTAATTATGCAACACTACGCATATCAAAGTCAGATCTTTTTTCCCCCCACTTCTTTTTTATTTATCAAGTGTGTCAGTGTTAGAGATCATCCCGCAGGGAAATAGAATCATGATAAATCATAATATCGGGAATTTGTGTAAGACCTGATTAGTAAGCTACATAAACATTTCTGCAACCTCCTGTTTGTTTCAAGGTTATGTGTTGTACCTTAGTCTTGGCCTTGATTTCCTCAACTTTGACCACTGGGTCAAGAGTGAGGTCCTGGCTATTCTGCTGGTTCATCTTCCCGTTCATCCACACCATCGCGTCGTTCACCTGCTTGTCCGCCCGAGTGACCTCCAGCTCGTCCAGGTGATTGTACTGCTCGTCCTGCCAGGAGGAGCACAGGTTAATTATGATACCGATTGAAGTGAACGTTGATCATTAGAGACAAACTATGCTATCTAAAAATGCTTTCTTTAAAAGGGGCTATATGTAACTTTTTACATGTATAAATCGTTTTTTATCGCCCATTAATAAGCGTTAAGTAGATGTTCACTGTCTAACTGTGTTGCCTGTATAACATTTTTCCCCGGGTCGTATTTTCTGCGAAAGCTCCAGGAAGTGACATTTTATGCACGTTCTCAACGTCCTCCTCACTCCGCTCCGCTTATAGAGATCAACAGTACAAACTCATCACACACATACATGGTGAGAAATCAACCAAACAGGGACTTCTATAAGTCAACAAACTCGCTGTGTGTGACAAACCTTTGCTTTGTAAGCCTCAATGATCTTCATGTACAGCTGGATCTGTCTGCCGAGCTCCTCAAATGCTCTTGGCCTCTCTTCAGATTCAATGTACCTCTCATGTATGGGCTGGCCCATTTTCTGTTAAAAGAAACATTGTGAGGTTTAGTAATCGAGCTGCAGGGACCAGGCCTATTCACCACTAAATGACCAGTTACACTCTGCGCCTGGTTACCTTCAGTTCAGCCAGTTTGTCAATATAAACTTGTTTCTGTTGGTCCTCTCCGTCTTCATACAGCCAGTTCTCTGTGTCCTCCAGTTTTAACGAGAATGTGTCACGATCCTGCGTGATTTACAAGATGATAAAAACACAATTTATATAAACCCTAATAAGAAAACAATCCACGCATCGTATTTAAACTTAAAGCTTTAACACACTGAAAGTTCAAGAGAGCACTGCTTATTTCTACAACGCAGAGCTTCTTAACAGAACATCTGTGTTACGTATACTCACAGCCTCGGTCACAAACTTCTCCAGAGCGCCATGCAGCTTGTCCCTCATCTCGTACACATATTCTTCTACGTTGTTCTTTGCGTCGTTCCTTTCCTTCTCCAACTTGTCCTGCATGACCATCTTACCCTAGAGAAGTCAAATATGGGTTGGTGATTAATGATTAGTCAGTGGAAGCATATCGGGGCACACAGGCAAGTTGTGGAGGATCAAAGCACTGGAGGAAAGACCAAGGGAGCAAATAGAAATAGTATTTGGTAAAGAATAATACCTAGAGCTGAGATATAACTTTAAAAATTAATGACTCTATACATTTAAATTCCTGAACCATAAGATTAACAATATTAATAACCTGGTCAAATCTGTAAATCATGTAAGTAAACCAAGTAGTCAAGATTCAATATGATTTGTAGAAATGTAATCTGCCCTTCTATATGCCCTTATAAGGTCATCAGATGAAACGCAACTATAGTCATTTCAAACATAACAACATGTGAAAAATAAAAACAAAACAAAAGCCAATGTAACCAGGAACACAAAGTCACAGTGGCATGCTGCTAACCAAACACTGAGCGAGTGCATGCTGGACATTCCTGGTGATCTTTAGCGCATTACCTCATTCTCCACAAATACATTTAGTACATCGCTGGACAGCTGCCAGCTCAAATTGTTCACTATGGGCAGCTCAATCGTCTTCGTTTTCACTTTGGGCTTCTTTGCCTGAGGGGGCTGGTCGTTCTTCTTCTCCTTATTGGCGTCCTCCGTCATTGTCTGGAAGGAAAGGATGGACATTAGTCTGTGCAAAGGTGTTTACTGAACTATGTTAACATGTGCTTTGAGTAAATCAAACCAGCAACCCCCCACCCAATTAGAAACATTTAAATCAGTGTGGACTTGTGATTTTTACATACATTTCTTTACACATATTTGACATTTAGCAGGTATATGTGAGAGATTTAAATGTTTATAGTATTCTCTAGAAATGTTTATGGTGAGGTCATAGTTCAAATATTCTCTGAACTCAATAAAACCTGATGCTAAAATGTAAAAAGATACCACATCAGGAAGTTTACCAATCATAAACTCTTAATCCCTCATTTAAGGATGACAGCAGCACCTTTGACATATGTGAATCATCTGATGTAAAATTTGCTGATCTAGAAGTTTGTTTACTGTGGTTACCTTTGTGCTGGGTGATATGGCTAAAAAGATTGTTAAAATGAATTTGCATATCATGCTAATAAATGAGTTTAATGGTATGACAATTGGGAAAATGGTTAAACTTAAAAAGACACCATAATTGGAATTAAATAATAGAATGATCAGCGTTAATCATTTACAGACTTTTTTAAATCGGTGTAAAAGACGTCAAAGTTTTGATGTTCCTGCACTTAATTGTTAGCGATGTTAATTTGATCTTTCTATATTTGCTGAATTGGCAATCACACATTCTGTACAGGATTACTGCCCTCTTCTTTTTCTACACAGGAACAGGGGAGGTAATTTTTCATATCAGAGTCATTTTGCCACCTGGCAAGCACTTTAAAGTCACATTTTATTTCATATACAGTATCAAAATGGTATGGGCATGAAGTTGATCGCCTTATCACCGAGCACAAGGTTACCTCCATCTCCTCCGTCTCTGACTTCTTGTCTCCGTTGTCTCCGGACGCAAGTTTCTGATCCTCCGGGTCCACTTGCATTTTGTTCTGACACACCATAACAGAAGACAAGACACAGTACAGTCTGTGAAACACAAAAGCTGTGGCTGCTTTTCTCCACAGACAAAGTTCAACAGTGTCAGCTGGCCATTAACCAAGAAACATGTTAGGACCAGGATGCTGACTTGACAAGATTTAATTGGTGTGTACAAGTTTCTGTTTGTTCATAACTGTCTGTTTGCTGCTTCACCAAATTGAATCATCCTCAGCTCAGTCATGTTTAAGACTCACATAGGTACTATTTGTATGCAACTTGACAATAATAATGACACATGTATTTCAGATTCTGTATCTGAAGGTTGGAAATAACAGTTTATTTGATCTCCAACAATTGGCTCTGTCGCGCAGAAAGTCAAGCAAAAGGGAGAAATAGAGGCAGCTCCTTAAAACACTCTAAAGCCTGGTAAGGCAAGATCACTAAATTCCATGATGATGACATGACTACCTATTTAAAAATGAGGTGTGGCTTAGCCGTGTCTTTGTAAACACAACTGAGGCCTAAGAGAAAGCAAACAGCACCAAACAAACAAGTGGCATCGCTTTGTGTCTTTATGTTTCTGAGTCATTAGTCCTTAGACACACACAATGTTAATACACACAGTACACACCTCCTCGTCCTTCCCCGGTTGCTCCGTCTCCATCGGCTCCTCCCCTTCTGCTGTTTTTAAGACCTCGACAAGAGAGGCGCTCGATACGCTGAAGACGCCGTGAACACTGACCCGGACTTTGACCTTCACCTTTGCACTCTCCCCAGACGCCTGAGGAACCACATTCTGGATCAGGAACTGGCCTGAAGGGTCAGAGAATATGACCAAAGGTTAGAACAGATGATTCTATATGATTGAAATCTAACCCATAAGATTTTTAAAGGGAAATGCAACGCTAGGTAAACCCTTTTTATACATTTCCTAACATTTTTCAAGTTTTTTAACCCTTTAGTTAACCAAAAGGAAACATGTTAACAACCTACTCCACACTGGATATCTTCATTGATCAGTTTCTTTGACAATAAATTACTGAATCTAAACTGGCAGTACCTATAGTGCTGCTGGGGTACGGCAGCTCCTTTAGGTTGTTGTAGTAAGCTTCAAGGGTGAAGGGCTCTTTCCGGAAGAAGGTCAAGACTTTGGAGAAGGGAGCAGCATGGTTCTTGGGGAAAACCTCACAATCACTGAAAAAAAAAATGTGACAGGAGGTCAAACATTAATGATACAGAAATGATCAAATATTTGACACAGCTTGAAAATGAGCTAGAAGTAGCTGTATATATCTGTTATAACTAAGTAACAGAATAAGCAGCTGGTAGATTTTTTTTTAATGCATGTGGTGTAAATGAACTGGTTATGTTTAGGTGTGGCAGAAAATCCAGCATGTACATGTGTCTGGATAAACAATGGACGCAGGCAGGTGTGGTCCATAAAAAATAATTCCCTTAAGAGACCTCTGGCCTCGTCTTAACTGCAGGTTTTGGGAAGATTCTTTTTCTATCAGAAAAAAAAACAAGTCTTTTTTTGTTGAATTCATACTGGCAGCTATGTCATAACAGATATTATATAAGAAATCAAGGAGAGACACATTCGGCTGATAATAAGTAAAAAGATTATAGACACAAGACTGCAATGCCTTAGATGATTTCAGCTTAAACCCTACAGTATATGGAAATGTCCTGATACACATCAGCAACAATAACGAGGGTTTCAAAGCATGGAAAAAAACATGATTAACAGGTGGGATGAACTCTTCTATTTTTTTCCTGTAGGACGCAGACAACTAGTTAAAAATAGTTTTTAATGTTCTCAGATGAAGCTAACAGAGATCGTACCTCAGTCCCTCCTCTGCGGCTGAGTTCCATTTGAGGGAGATTGGGTAGGGGACAACATCTGTAATGGAGAACTCTCTGACTTTGAATGCTGGTGACAGGATCGCACACTGAGGGAAAGAAACGAAAACATCATTAAACAAGTTATGACTCAAAGAAAGAACAACAGAGCTTGGATGGTATTTCCCCCCCCCCCTGTAATTATTATTATTTTCATTTTTTTTTGGGGGGGGGGGGGGGGGGAGAGAGACTAGCTTTCTAGAAAACACATTCACATGCTTGAACACTACAACACAGCTGCCAGCGAGTGAGTCACTAACAGGACCAAAATTGTTGGTGATGCGTGCCAGGCGAGCCGTACCTGCAGAGCACAGCCTCTGGCCACGGCCTCGTCTGCATTCAGAGTGGTGCTCAGCTCTTTGCCGAAAAATTTGCTGATTCTCTCTTTGATGGCAGGGATTCTGGAGGCTCCTCCAACAATCTCCACTGCATAGATGTCCTCCTTTTTCAGCTCTGGAGACAAGAAAGACGCACAGTGTGAACAGCACATGCACGCACATTACATACTTGTTGTAGAAATGTATCTATACGTGGTCTTTAAATATCTTATGGTGAATGCACATCACTCATACTGAAGACAGGGAGGGCTTGCTTTTGTTAATAATTTGCCTTAGAAATTAAAAAGCAGCTGACAGCAGAGAGAGAAAGAGGGGGGGGGGGGGATGACTAAAAGGAGGCAGGAGAAAGGCAGCTGTGCAGCCTGAGGTCCCCTGGCTGAGCCTCATCTATGCGAGTGTGTGTCCAGCTGCTTTAGATGAGATGTACTCACTGGCTTGTTCCAAGATGCTGCGGAGGGGAGCCTCTACTTTGGCCAGCAGCCCTGCACACATCTCCTCAAACTGACCCCTGGGAACACAAGGTCATAGATTGTTAATAGACACGCACAAACACAGGATCTTTGTTATTACTATTGTATAACTTCATCCTCTTTCATTATAAGCATCATGTTTGCCTCTCACCTGTTAAGTTTACCGGAAACATCAATGTCATTCATGAAGCACTCAATGTTGAGGGGCAGGTCCGAGCAGTTGGCGCTCATCAGCTTCTTGAGCTTCTCACACTCTTGGTAGAGTCTGCCAAGCGCCCGGGGTTTGGACTTGACGTCCAGCTTGTACTTTTTTCGAAACTCCTCACAGAAGTGGCTGACCAGGATGTCGTCAAAGTCCTTGCCGCCAAGATCCGAATCGAACGCCGTAGCAAGGATCTAAAGGCAGCGAGGGAGAAGCAGGTTAACGTTTGAAGGTCTGGAAAACTGATCAAACTATTTGATGAATATTTCACATTGCTGCATTTCTCCGTTTCTGTGAGAAAAGACATTTTTAAAAGTATGTTTGTGAACGTATCTACTATTTTTTTTCTTTTTAAATCAAATGTCAAAATCCGGCAACCTTACTTGCTTCATTTGATATCGAGGTATAAAACTTGCTAAGGCAGAGTTTGTGCTTTATCAATTATGTAAATAGCTCAGTTGTAGGGCAGCAAACATATAGAGGAAAGTGAATTCCTATGATTTCAATTCATATGCTTTATTTGTTCAAGGCTAAAGAAAAAAAAATGAGCAAGAATGAGTGATTAAAAAAAAAAAAGCATTGGCAGGTATACCTGCTTAATAATCAGTTAATCACAGATGTAAGGTCAACACTCCTGACACTTAAAAGATGATGCATCCTCATATTCTGCCTTGAGGCATTTCCCCCATTCAGTATCTCTTTTCAAAATGGGCACAAATTATTCATCGCTCACCTTGAGCTTTCCCTTGTTGAAGGCACAAACCGACACCTGGTAACCCGAGTGGCCCACGTCTACAAACACCACTATCCTGGGCTTCTCCTCTGGAGCGGGCAGGTCCTGCTTGTAGATGCCATATGCAAGAGTCACTGCAACAGACAGCCACAGCCACACAGGTGTTAGTTTTGGCCTACCAATGCATTTACCATTCTGAATCGTGCATTTAAACAGAACAGTCTGACCTGCAGTACAGTTTCACCAACAGACAACGAGAGCATGCGAGATATATGAGGGCCTTGCTTTAAGATTTTCTCTGCCCGTGTGAGAAAGTACCGAACTAAAACATAAATCAGAGCTTTAAATATACGGTAGCTTAACTGTGACATATTTCCATAGATGCATAGCGTTAGCATAGCATAGCTCCACCCCGGGTAGTTTTACTCAGCAGTGACTCATAGGCTACATTTTTGGCATGTGCATGGCTAGTAGTGAACAGCTAAACACTTTCTCAGGGCTCATTTGACTGAACTGCTCGAGGATATACCAAAAACATATCTCAACATACAAAACAACACATTGATGTCACTTTACAGCTCAGTGATACATCTGTTGAAAAAGCCTGATAAAAGATACTACGACTGTTTGTGAACCTGAAGTCCTGCAGTGAAGTGTTTGAATGTACCTGCAGTGGTCTCATTCATCAGCCGTAGACAGTTGAGGCCTGCAATCTGAGCTGCATCCATGACAGACCTTCTCTCAGCGTCAGTGAAATAGCTTGGTACCTTGGAGAGAAGAAAAATAAAATACAGTTTTCAAATTATACCAAAAATAGACCGTTTCATAATAAGCTTTTACTGAACCCACTGATCTTCACAAAATATATTCACACTCAAACACTGTATTAGAATAAGACACAGATAATGATGCTAAAGATATCCAAAACTAATCCCCTGTATCACAAGATGTCTGGATAACGTTACCATGTCTGTTACTCTGGGTGCCAAAACAAAACATCTCCTTGTGGAGAAGCTGAAGGGCTAAATTTAGCACAGTAATAAAAAACATGTAATCTATCACCAAGGCTGATGTAAACGCTAGATATAGGCTTAGTGAGAGCAAACATCTCTCTGTGTGAGATCTGGGAGACTGCATAACAGATGCTGCTGGTGAATTTGTTTACTGAACAACACAAGCTTTTTGCCCGACAAGGTGACGAGAGAGGAAATAAGGCTTTCAGACAAGACATCTGGAAAAGTGCTCAGTGCTCAAAATGTCAAACGCGAGGCAGCTTTCACAGGGCTTCTTTTTTTTCTTACCCCCACATGACTTGAAAATGCAAGAAGCTGACTTTAATTGCTGCCACTCACACTAGCTAAGTTAATACAGTGCAATGGTGACTCTTTTCAAGCAGTTAAATGGGTTTTTGTACAAACTGCTGAAGCCTTTGAACCGTTGCACAATCTCTTACCGAGATGACACAGTCTGCAACGGGTTTCTTCAGTGCACTTTCAGCAGTCTCCTTCAGCTTGTTCAGCAGCATGCCAGTGACCTGCTCGATGCTGAACACTTTCTCCTCCTCCATGTACATCACCTAGAGTTCAAAGGAATAAGATGTTATCTTTAGTGACACAGTTAAAGGTTTAATACGCGATTTTTTGGATCCAGCAGATGTCGCCGTTGAGCACCAGCATGAAACCAAAACAACACGCGGCGCATTGCTGTATCTTCATTATGCTCGTATCTTCACACTGCATGTAAATTTACCCGAAATGAGCGTGATCTAGAAACACAGTTAAGCAGTGAGTACAGTATGTTATTCTTCTTTTCTTTAGTCCCTCAATTAAACAACTTTTATTCGTGAGGGGAGGAGTCAGCCGTCGTCCTGGCAATGTCAACAAACTGAAAATATGACTTGGAAAACTTGGAAAACATCACAGACAGTGGGACTCAGGTGTTACACCCATTGTAGACAGTCATTACTCACATAGTTATTTTCAGAGGATATACTTGATTTCTATTATATTTAAGTGTGGAAAATCACATATAAAGCCTTTAAACTATGGAAACTTTACAGACACTTTAAATTAAACCTAGAAAAATGCCATAATGATTTATTTAATTAACTAAAACTAATTGGCAGGCATAGTTAATAAGTAACATAGTATGTTGATATGCAATCAGAATACTCTATGACTGCAAGGAATGATTTTGCAGATAACAGCAAGTTGATTCTACTTCTCTGAATGTGTTATTTCTTCTGCTCTATTCCATCTTCAGGACTTACTTTAATTAATTCCACTGGGACACAAACACATGTCAGGCTGTGTGTTTGTGTGCAATGTAGGCTTGGTCATTTTTGAAATATTTCAAAGAACGTGTCTTTCTCTTCCACTACCTCAGGTTACCTTTGGTAGCCATAATGCAGATGAAGTAGCGTCGTTTCATAATCTTACTTTTATACCGGTGGATCCAGAGGGCATCTGTGCCAGGTCGTACACCAAGTTAGTCTTGGCCGACTGGACATACGGGTCGGAAAATGCCCTGCCATGGAATCGCTTGAAGCCCTGCACTGTGTTCCGACAGTTGGTCACCACCTGGACAAGGTGTTGGAGGGGAAAAGAGGAGAAAATTAAAGAAAGGCGAGTTAGAATAACGAGAATTCACACTCATCTTACACACAGTATTTTTGTACTTTATTAAAAGGAATGAAACAGGGTGACTGATCTGTTTTTACCTGGCTCTTTGCAGCTGCTCCTATGGATCGATTCCGTGCTCCAAATGAAACAAATGATCTGGGGGACAATAAAAGAAAAGGTTAAGTTAGTGAAAAAAGGAGAGTGGGTCAACATAGCTTTTCAATAACAACTATAAAAATGTGGAAAAGTAGAATATAAACAGTGGGGGGGGGGGGATCACCTCCCTCCCTCCCACCCCCACCACAGGTACATTTGCATTCTGTGAGAAACCCTTTATCATCCAAAATGTGGTCGAACTTGTGATGACAAGATCTCATGCCTACACATGACGTGACAAATCAGAGCCCAACCCACATACAGACTGTTTCAAATGTGCACGACCAATGCTGGCAGTTTCTTTTGGTGGCCTGAAAGTCAAATTAAACGTGTACATTTATCAGTGTTTCAACTTTGTCAATATTCTGCCTGAACTCAAATTTATTTTTAAACTAAAATATAAACCTGGTCTTAATATGCCTGTCATTGTCAAACCTATCGAACACAGTGGTCAAAGCTACAGACACTATCTCGTTGGTGATGTCAAGAAGAGGTAAAGGTAGCAAGTTTTTAAAGACCGATATAAAGCTACGGAGGATTTGTGAGTCAGGAGATGTTAGGATGTGTTTGCTCATGGATTAGTTATGAGGAGGGAAGAATACACTAACATTTAGGAAAACTAATCAGAAGAAAGACATTAAAAGGGGAAGTCTTATCTCATCTAATATACAAGACAGCTGTAGACTAGAGTCTTTGGCAACACTAATTAAAGACATTCAACACTGCTTAATTACAAGACATTTCTGGGTTTTTTCAGATTATTTTTGGGCATTTTGTGCCTTCATTGTAGAAGTAGGACAGTGAATAGAGTCAGAAATCAGGGAGAGAAAGAGTGGGGAATGACATGCAGGAAAGGAGCCACAGGTCGGATTTGAACCTGGGCCACCCCAGCCTCCATACGTAGGGCACATGCACTAACCACTGCGCCCCAAATTATAAGACATTTCTTTAATTAACTCTTGCATCTAACATTTTTACACTTCTGTAACATGTAACAGATGCTAATTTTGGATAATACATGTTTTATTTGATCAATGGCAGAAATCACAAACTATAAAGGAATACTGTTAATAAATCAAGAAGGCTATTCTTTTGCGACTCTCATACTGAAATCAGCAAGATAATTTAAAAAAAAAAGACCATATTTCAATGATAATTTCAACTTCAAATGATGAACTCATTCATAATGAATTAGCTATTGTTTCAATCGTAATTCATTTGTTACTAACGGGTAACAAACCCATTCATTTCACAACAAATCACCAAGCTAAAATCGTACATTAAACCCCTGAAATCTATAAAGTTTCGATATGTTCATTAGTTAAGTCAACTTCCCAACTTAAACCTTGAACACATTTATCATTAGAGGCTTGAATATTACTGATCGTTAGTTTAAAAAATGCATACTCTCTTTTACTTGATGTGGTCAGAGGTAAATTGAAGTAGATTCCAATAACCATTACCATGATTGTCCGTGGGAGTCAGATTAAGGCTGGACGGTATGGACCAAAACTGATATTTCGATATTGTTTAGCTGAATGGCGATACTCGAGATATATCAATATGTATTTTTATTAACAGTGAAAACACATGGAAAAATAAGCTACCTGTTTGCTACCTCTGTAACGTTATTTTAATGCAACTTAAACTATATAGATGTTAACGATATTGTCTTACCCTATATCTTGTTTGAAAATACATCGACATATCTTAAAAACTCGATATATTGCCCAGCCCTAAGTCAGATGGGTGCTGTTTTCAGTAAGTTGTTGAGCAAATTGTCTTAAATGTGTAATAACCAACATGATGTACTGTTTTTGACCTTTGAATTAACAGATTCCTGGAAGACGCAAAGTATCTGTTCAAATAACAAATATTAACATCTAATATAAAGATATATTCTTCTGCTAAGTTGTTATATGCAATCCTTTTCCGGGCTTCATTGTTATAAAACATTGAAATTCAATTAGATTTTCTTTCAGGTGCCACAATCTACTCATCAAAGTGCCGCGTCGGGACATAATACAAAAACTATTAAGACATTTTTTTTTCTTTCTTTTAAATATATTAATTATAGTTGTTTAATATAAAAAAAAAAGAACTGAACTCTTCATCAGGCATCAAAAAATTGCTAGAATATTCTAACAAGCCACTTGGCTGATGTCGTCATCGAACGGATCAGAACGCAAGGCGCTGGGTTTATTACACGTTGCACACCGGTTTGTCGGAGCTTCCGCCTTCGAAAGAGCAGCAGTAAATAGAACATGGTGGAGGGGGGGGGGAACACCGCCCGCTTGTGTTGGCCTGGCAACTGAAGCCCCAGCTCCAAGCCAAAAGCAGTGCCGTTAATAAGAAACGAACCGTAAGCTTAGCTAAGTAGCTAGCTCACTGGTTGGTGCGGGACCGAGTAGATAAGTTACGGGTGGCTTTTGAATGGTTAAAGATTGGATGTTAAAATAATAACACACACTGCACCGAACGAACAACCGAAATGATGTAGATTGAACCGACAATAAACACAAGGGTACAAGTGAAGCTAACAGTGAGTTAGCCGTGGAGTAAAGCTGCATTCACGTGTATTGCCCTGACACCGGGAGAAAAACAAAAACTATTTTTTTAAAGCCAAATCCAATAAATAAAATCTGCATTTACGGTACTTACGGTGTGCATCTGTCGCTGTATTCGTTAGCGACTGTCTCAATTCCTCCGGCTCGGGCTACAGCTACATAGCAGCTTTGAAAACCCAAGTCAAATCCCACCACTGACATCTTCAGTCTAACGTAATAACGTTATCTACAGTTTGATTTAAAAATCACACACAAACAAAAAAAACCGCGCGTTTCGTTTTTATAAAGGTGTTCAAGTCAGGGTTAAGTAGTTACGTTGCGCTCTGTAAAGCAGGGCTTCTTCTAGTCATAATCCACACACTGCTGATTAATACCGGTGTCTCTGATCTGTGCTGGCAGGCTGCAGCAGCAAGGTGGTTTTTACTGACTTCTCGTCGTCTTCTCGAACTTATCGCGAGACGTACACTGTTCTAGATATATCTGGACCTTTCCATAACCATGTGGACAGTTCTCTGGCGGAAATAAACTTCGGGGGCTTAGTATTTACTGATAAATATATTGACAAAATTAAATCAAGGGCTGGTTTATTTGATGAATACTGGAATAAACTCGAGTCTAAAATAGACTGCTGTAACAGAGTGTTGAATGCTTGAAGTCAACCAAAAGCGGATTACATTTTAAGACAATATTAAGGTTATTGAAATATTTTAAAAAAAAATTGTCTTGGTCAGACCTACATTTTAAATATGTACTCGTGAAAAGGTCATTTTGAAGTCTTAAGACGACCAAACTTGTCGTGTTGACGTGTTATGACGTCAAATTATGATGTCTAGAATTATTTTGTGAACAGATTATCAAAAGCAGATGAATAATGACAAGGTTATCTGTCCTGAAAATGCCTTTAAACAGTTTCTGCTGCAAAATTTAAACATATTAAGATAATAGATTGAAACATTGATATCATGTTAATTAAACACGTGAAACTTTTGCATTTATCATCCAGTGGCTCTTGAATCCTTTCTTTCTTTCTTTCTTTCTTTCTTTCTTTCGAAGAGGGCATAATCACTTTTGATAAATGTTTTTGTTGGTGTCAGATTATTTGTAACATAATAAGGATGAACGCTGTTTGGAGGGGCCCCCCTGTGAATTTATGCCTTGGGCCTCAACGGCCTCAACAGACTCCAGAATCGCCAATGATCAGAACAACAAAGCCAAACAACACTTCAGAACACTGAAACAACATATCAGAACGACACATTGAAACAAGTATCAGAACGACACATTGAAACAAGTATCAGAACGACACATTGAAACAACATATCAGAACGACACATTGAAACAAGTATCAGAACGACACATTGAAACAACATATCAGAATGACACATTGAAACAACATATCAGAACGACACATTGAAACAAGTATCAGAACGACACATTGAAACAACATATCAGAACGACACATTAAAACAAGTATCAGAACGACACATTGAAACAACATATCAGAACGACACATTGAAACAACATATCAGAACGACACATTGAAACAAGTATCAGAACGACACATTGAAACAAGTATCAGAATGACACATTGAAACAACATATCAGAACGACACATTGAAACAAGTATCAGAACGACACATTGAAACAACATATCAGAACGACACATTGAAACAAGTATCAGAACTATAAGATTAAGATTAAGATTAACTTTATTGTCCCAGTGGGAAATTTGTCTTGGACTTCACAGAGCTCTGATGCAGTAGCAAAAAAATAACAAAATACATTCATTCGTCGGTAAAACATGATTCAACAATCATTGAATTCCATACAAGTGAATTACTAAAACCATAAATATGTGATAGTTATGTAAAGAGATAAACAGTGCAGGTACATCTACACATCTTCACACGCACACTCACACCACCTCATACATGCACACGTATACACACACATTACAGCTTAGGTACTGTTGAGGGCTTCGATGGACAAGGGAACAAAGGTATTTCTGAAACGGTTGTTCCTCCCTCGGGGTGCCCTGTACGGTTTGCCCTTGGGGAGGAGCTGGTACTCAGGGTGAAGAACATGAGATGGGTCTGAGATTATTTTTTGTGCCTGTCTGATTATGGTTTGTTGAAAGATGTCTTGGAGGCTGGGATGTTGATGGACCCCCCATGATTTTCATGTAAATAAATAAATACAGTAAAACTTATGCTGCTGTTTTTGAACAGTCAAATATTGTTTTACTTGAATGATCAAAACAAAAATGACAAAGAGTTAAATATTAATTGAAAATGTTTTTAATTGAAAATGTTTTTTGCTCAAACTTTTTCCATCAAACATCTTTTGCCTACAAACTGAAAAAAAAAAACCCTCTCAAATACAGAAACAGAGCGCTGATGCCGGGTGAGACACACAGATGCAGTAGTTCATGATTGACGGTAGAGGGCACTGGTTGCGTTAAACGGTAAAACGTACTTATTGAATTACAAGGAAGAAGAAAAAGTAACTTGCAACATGGCGACTCCCATGCACAGGATAATAGCAAGGAGGCAAGCGTGAGTATCATCTATATATCTTCACGAATACGGCACATTTTCGACGTTTAGGCGACGAAGTAGCATTTATAAAAGAAATGGCTTCGAGCCCTTCGAGGTTCGTGTATTAATAAGACGTAAAGCATGAACCTTTTTAAGTCTTTATGGAAGTACAAAATGCGTCGCGATGTGTCTCAACGACACAGACCTACTTTGAGAAAGATGTCGTTCTGGTTCATCTTTGTTTACTCTAGGAGCTTGCTGCTGATAAAGTAGATTATTAGATACAAGGTGAGACTTAAATTAATCCCAGAAAAAATAATAACAACACCACCTGAATATAAAATATGAGCAGCAGGATCAGGCAGCAGTAGCGTTAACTAAGCGTGTCTTCTTTCAGGCCAGCTTCAAAATCTTCTCTCAAATATTCGTCATATGAATATTTAGCCACATTCACGATAATCTAGAGTCTATAAGGTTAATAGCCTATCGCAGTTTCAGTGCAACATGATAATTTACATTAGTTAATTGTTTCACAGTATAGGCCCTTTCCCTCACTGGAAGAAGTGCTTGATTTCCAGATAATACAGGTATGGTTCAGAATAATCGCAGACTTGTGTAAATCAGTGTTCTTCTAGTGATGAAAGATACAACAGAAAACTCAAAGTACTTGGTCTTTTTCGATTCTCTGATTTTTTTTAATTTTTTTTTAATTTTCCAAATCCAAAAAAAAAAAAAAAAAAACACCAACCAGAATTTTTTTTTTTTTCCGACACTTCACGTCCATTATTACCCCTTTACCTGTATGGGGGTTATGACTTCGGTATACAGTTGAGTTTAAGATTTCATCCACTTCAGAAAACAATAAAGCAGAATGAACACACAAGATTGCAGTTAAGACACGAGCCCATCCAAACAATAAGAGACATTTCAGACGAATTGAAAAAAAAGAAACATGTGATATTATGTTATGCTTCCATGTTTTGAGCTCGGTGTATGAGGTCGTCTAGTTGGCTTGAAACGCCACTTATTGATAAATCCTTTCAAAAGGAAGCTTCTTGGTTGTGAGGATGTTGTTCGCTTTCCTTGACCTACTCGTGTTGGATGGATCCAGCACCCACTGAGGGATTTGCTTGTCTTTTTTTTTATTTTTCATGTTAGCCTGGTGTACAAACACTTTGTATATACATGTAGGGTGAAAAATTCTGTATGTTTGATTTGAAATATTTAACAAGCCTCGTCTTATTTTCCAAACATTTCCCAGGCTACAGAGACTATACAGATTCTTCACAATTGAATTACTCTTAACTGAAAGGGGAAGAGTAACCGCAACTGTGATGATGTGATTTTTTTTTTTTTTTTTTTTTTTTAAGGAGTGACTGTCAGTGTTTGTCCTCGTTCAGTTCTCTCCTTTCTTTGCTCGCAGGGAGGCGAACAAACAACATGTGCGCTGCCAGAAGTGTTTGGAGATGGGACACTGGACCTATGAATGCAGCGGGAAGCGGAAATATGTGCATAGACCGTCACGAACGGTTGAGATGAAAAAGAAACTCAAGGAGAATGAAAACAAACCTCTCAGCATCACTGGGTATGTTTACATCAGCAGCACAATACGACATACCAAGAAGGCAGGGTTTTTGATGTAATAAGATTCAGATTGAAACATACATTTGCAGTGCTATATAGATGGTCAGATGGTGACTTTAAAACCACTTTAAGTGACTTCATTATACCCTAAGCCTAATCATTACATTTCACTGAGCAGCTGTATGAGCATGTGACAAACAAAACTCTTGAATCTTCAATAATATTAACTGAGCAAATGTGACATGTTTAAATGTATTTACAGCTGCAGAATATACCTGTCTACAAGTTATGCGGAATATAGCACAATTTGTAGACAGTTTAATTTAGTTTTAGTTTTACTTGCACTTCTGTGGTTGCATGAAAACCCAGTAATTTTTCTGCTACTTACTAATGTATCCGTTGGTGAAAGGTTATGACTTTAGTTTGTTTCTTTCCTGTGATGTTACGTTTGGAGGAAGACTGGAGTCCCAACTTGTTGTAGATTTTCCAGCTGCACATCTTTTTTTTCTTTCTTTTTTTTAATCTCATCCATAGTGGCGACGTAATAATGGGGCCACTAGTCAGAAAACTCTTAAAAAGGAGAAGCTGGTTTTCTCAATTTTGTTTTAAAGCCTCAAAGGAGAAAATCAACAAGCTCACTTGAGTTTCATTGTGGTCTCAGTTGGTCAGGGCATTTGGCTCATGAGAGAAGGGGTTTGGGTTGAAATGCTGTTCCGACTGTACATGAGTAAAATCCCTCACTGGTTTATGACTGATACTCAAGTGTTTGGGTCAAATTGAGCCACATTAGTGCTCAGAAAGAGACACACACAGATGAGTAAATATACGTGCAAACTATTAACTGTACATAAACTGACCCACTAACAGGGGACAGTGCTTTGCTTTTTTTTATCGCCATCTAGAGGACGTGATGATAAAAACAGCCACCAGGTGGACATTTATAGACCTAAAACCAGCGTTCTGCACAGTGTGGACATGCAGCTCCCAGGAAATGTTCTGTGGGTTTCATTGTGAACATTTCAGACGATCACTTACTAGTATATGAATACAAATCAATTATTGAAATCTTCAAGGAAATATCAGTATTACAAACGTTGTGATTTTTTTTTTTTTCATGATGATCTGTCATACTGTATTTAAAGAATAAAAACAGCAGCTACTACAACACAAATGTCTCTCTAGCCTCCAGGCAGATTCAAGCTTAGCTTCTTGTTACTAAAGCTGTTCTCTCTTTGCAGACCAGGAAATGAAGGCTCCAGTGAGAAGAAAATCAAAAAGAAGTAAGTACGATGTATATTAAAAGATAATTTGTCGGTGCTGGATGTTACTGGAAGTTATACACTTCAAGTATAATGTACTGAAACATTCTTAATCCTCAACAAATTGGACCTTGTAGTAACCACCTTATTTTGATACAAATAAAACACTTAATTTCACTTTTACATTTTCAAGTAATTAATAATAAATTAGATTTATATAGCGCTTTTCTAAATACTCAAAGACGCTTTGACAGGAAACAACAAAAAACAAAGCAAAAACTAAGAGAACAATACAACAAAGAAGTAGAGTGGAGGGAAGAGGATGAGAGTCAGTGGTTGTAGGCGGTGATGAAAAGGTGAGTTTTTAGGGATATCTTGAAGGAAGTGAGTGTGGGGGAGTCTCTGATGTTTTTAGGGAGAGAGTTCCAGAGGATGGGAGCTGCAATGGAGATGCTCATGTGAGCTGTTGGGAGTCGCATGAAAGTCCCGTGAGAGTTGTAGTCGTGGGAATTTAAGTTTGGATTTGTGTCACAATCTCCTCGGGGGATGATGTCAGGTGGGTGTTGTGTTAGGGGGCGTGGTGGTTGTGTCTCTTCTCTGTTTGGGGACAGTAGATGACATCCTTTGCAGCTTTACTGTCCCTCTCATGTTTCAAAGCCTGACCTAGTATTGATGGAGGTATGATGTCACAGCTCCCTCTAGTGGATGATTTGATTTCTAAACCTGAACTTTTTTTTTTTTGATATCCTTTATTAATCCCAGAGGGAAATACCTTCATCATAATTTGGCAGTATCAATAATTAGACTGTACACTCTTGAAACGGTCATGTATAATGTCTATTGATTTTATAAATTATATATTATTGAGGTATGATTCATTTTGCTCAGAATTTAGCTTTTTAAAAAGAGATTATGGTTGATGAGTTTGTAAATCACATCTGGGTCACACAAAAACTTTCTCTCTCCTTTCCCTTTTTTTCCCCCCACCTCCAAATGAATCGGATACAAGTTTGATTTGGAGGCTTTACTCATTTTATTTTACTGTTATCATTCTTTTATTAAAAGGTCTCTTAACATTCTCTTTTAACTGCTGGTTGTCAAGAACAGTCTAAACTACATTGTAAAATTTGCTCCTAGATAGTTGGAGTTCATCTCATTGACTTGAACTCGCTTTGGGGGGAAAAAAAAGGTGTGATGCAAAGAGCCAAAGGGCTTTTCGTTCAATCTACACGTACTGTAATTTATATTAATTCCGCAATGGCGTTATATTGGTGTCACAGTCTGTAGCCTTTCTCATGCTGCAATTTTGTTCAAGTGTCACAACGAATCTCTGCCGGCATTGCACCCGCAGACATTCTTATTTATTTTTACATTACAGAATATTGGTGCCCTAGTCTGTGAATTTAAATGTAAACTCCTGCACACTGTCTAACTCACAAACATTTATTGGAAATGTTTCAATACTAGTGGATGTGTGAAGGTTTTTTTTCTATCTAGTCTGTGAATTCATATTGTCTTACAGCGTTGTCTTATAGCGTTGCTGAAGCGCGAGAGTATGACACAGTGGGTGCTCCACATACACGCACAGTCAGAAATGCGCACACACATCGTTGCTCTTCCCTACTGGCTTAAGGAATCCCATCTCGTCTCTGTTATTACCTACAGAGAGGGGGATCTCTTTGACCCCCATTACACCTCTGCGACATTCATGTTAAAGGCGAAACCTCACAGGGACGTTAATATGGCGCCTTGAAACGGCGGTCTGAATAGGGCTATTTCCTTGCGGCGTTGCGGAAGCGCGAGAGAGCATGGCACAGCAGGAGCTTCACATACACATGTGACATTCATATTGAAGGTGAAACATCACAGGGACGTTAATTTGGCGGCTAAGATTGAAGAATGCCGCACAGAGACTAAGTGGGCCTGTACCTCTGACTCCATTGTAGCTAATTAAAATTCAAAGTCCAGATAAATTTGTTGATTTCAAAATAACAGAGTGACAAATAATTCTAAACGAAAAGTCCGAAAGATGACGATAAGGATGCCGATGACTGTCAACAGAAAATATTCAGACCCACTCACCCTGAATGGGTTGTCTGAATTGGGTTAGATACTCCATCCCTTTTATTCCGGCTGCTATCAGACTGCTAAATGTTGACTGCTGTAGTTGAATATCTGTATATCATTAGGCTCCAGAGTAAACATGTAGTTGAGTGTCTGTTTTAGAGTGACAGGCTATATTTGTTGGGTTTTTTGGAGGGGAATGTGCCTTCAGTAGAGAGATGTATCAGACGCTGGGGATTTTAGGGAAGCTTCAAGGCCCTCATAAAACACCAAATTCATTTTGTGTAACTGAACAGGTCTATATAAGATCTAAAGGTAAAGAGCACATGTGCAGGTATTGTCCTTAGTTTGACCTTTTTCTATTTCAATTCAAAAAGCTGGACAGAAACATGGTAGGTTTGCCATCAGTGAAGGTATCGTTTCACTTGCAAAGCGGTTAAACAGGGCATGTTTTTTTTGACTCATCTGCTCTGCGACAACAGCCAGTAACAGTGATAGTTAAAGAAACTGCGACAGCTTATTACTATCACAGTTTTTTTTTTTTTTTTTTAACATTGTGTATTTTCCTGTGCTCTGCCACTTGCTCTCAGGGTTAAAGATTCCGCTGACAGCAGCAGTGATTCAGACGGCTCCTCAAGTGACTCATCAACAGACAGCAGCGACTCCTCCAGCTCCTCTTCAGATGACAGCGACAGCAGCAGTGACAGCGACGATGACAGCTCTTCCTCCACTTCCTCCTCCTCCTCTTCGTCCTCCAACAGCTCCGACTCAGGAAGCAGCAGCGATTCAGATCAAGGACCTCCAAAGAAGAAGAAAAAGAAGAAATAAATAAATGTGTTGGATTTTTTTTTTTCCTTGTGTGATCCTGAGGTTATTTTAGCTGTTCACAAGTTGTTTTCTATTAAATACATCATACTTGGTTGGATGTGAAGGGACAGGACACTTTTTGGGCTGCGAATCCTACAGTTGCTTAACATATGTACAGTCTTAAAAAATAGTGATTAGAAAAGGTTTTTGTTATGCAACTTTTATTAATGTGATATATTCTCAAGTTTGTAGATCTACTAAAGATATACATTTCAAACTAATGTGCATATTCATGTTCATTTAGTTATTTTGTACTAAAGTATATTTTTTAGTAAAACTTGATCTGTTTAGCTAAAAATCAGAATAAAGCAGTACCTATGTAGTAATGAAAAAAACACCTATATGAGACATTATTAAAGAATACAGAATACAATTTTTGTTTGTAAAAAAAAATGTGCATTAGTTTCAAACTAGAGGATTGTGCTGCTGGTTTTAAGTTGTTTCACTGCTTCACTTTGAAATAAACTGGTTCCTGTTTTTAAGTTTCCTGGATGTTTGAGTAACCTCAAGTGCTTCGATATTTGTTTCTTCAATCCACCAGGGGGCGCAAATAAGGAGCAACCTTAATTTTCTATTATAAATGATAGCTTTAAACAGTGGTTAACCAGAATTAGCATTAATCGATGTAATTTATTTTCATATTTCATAATTTACATATTTGATTGTTAATAACCAAAATTGGACAATTTCAATTAGGTTTCAGTAATTTTATTCATATCACGTATAAATCATCAACATCAAGGAACGATCAGACGCTCACGGTGATATCCGTGCTGAACGTCAGGTCTACCATCCTGTGCGTCACTGAAATGTGGCGTTCATAACATTTAGGAATCACCAACATCATTAAAAGTAGCCTTTGCTGAAACTGTAGCTAGTGAGTAAACAATTTAATAGTTCGCCCAATTTGACTCAACTTCCGTATTATGGACCCGGGAAGCTGTCCAAATATATAGATTTATATATTTTTTAAACTTAAACCGGTACATTTTTTAAAACTTAAACCGGTACACATCTCATAAAATCGTCTAACTTATGCTCCACTACTTTCGATTCAACTAGACGAATAAATCAACATCTTTATAACTTTAAATTCCTATTTTGTACACAAGCAACACAAACAGTTTGTGTCTGTAGAAAAAGGAACACATCTCATAAAATCTGTGGTATTTAAAAATTTTTTTTTTAAAAATGGTAGTGCTTCAAAAGCCATCAACCTTCTTTGTTACGTTTAAAAACATTGCTTCTACTCCCCCCACAGTGTTTACTTGGAAAGGTGGTTAAGTCGAGATATTTCCGACAGCCCTTGAAGGCAGCACCGCTTGCTGCCATACATGCATCCAGTCCTGTCTGAGGTACCTGCTGGCTACTTAACTTAGCTAGCAGCCTTTACCTATCAGACACTTCTGTTTAGGAATAACAAAATGAACGAGAGACAAAATGAACTAAGTCCGTTTCCCGCTCGATGTGCAAGTTGCGTGTTAAGGAAAAAAATGGAGACCAACCATTTGGTTTTAGTATTTTAGCTGTTATTGCGTTTTTGTTGGGTCCATTTTGCGTGTAAGTGGAAAAGACAAAGAGAAAAGAGCTTTCCAATAGCTAGGATGGTTTGGGCCTAAAAAGAAGACGAGAGGTAAGGATGCTGAATATCGTCAAATGTGTTTTTTAATATATTAACTGTACTCTGTTGTTGTCTGACATTTTGAGTGAATGTTAATTTAAATTTCATTAAAAAAAATTCACTTGATTCACTGCTAGCTCGCCGCTAACTTAGCCTCAAATCGCCACTAGCTGACTTGGCGAGCTAACGTAATGCTAAAGTAAAGATGCAGGTATTCCTATAGGTAGTTAGCGTGTTAGCCACCTGCTAAAAAGGGGTAGACCTTGCAGTGAATTTTGGAGTTTGGGTGTCGTCAAACATTGCTTGATGAAATGATAATGGGATTGTTCTTTGCTGTGGCTTTCCGTTCGCGATAAGTGAAGAGGAAACATCGGGGGAGGTTGATAGTTACCTTGTTTTGCTACATATTGTTGACTACGAGGTCATGACGTTTAATGTTTGTGTTTCTTACTGTTTAACTGTGACTTAAGACAGCTTACCTGCATAAGTTTACCAACTGTTAACAATGTGTGTTATCCAAGGGAGATAATTGGATTATATTCAAGGGTGAAACGAAGCTGCGCGTAGTTTTGTTTATCCAGTTTATTAGCTTTCGTAAAACAAAACAAAAAAACTCTTAAAGTAAAAAGTTGAGGATAAAAAAATGATTGTCCTTCACTTGTAGTTTTCTCACCCTAAACAACACTATTAGATAAATCATTGGCTGATAACAGTGGTCAGTTTTTGTCGCGGTGACCAGCAAAAACTTTTGGTTTGATGTCAGTCTTCGCACACCTTATCCCGTCTAAACTTATGCTCCACTACTTTCCATTCAACTAGCCTGAAGAAATCAACATCTTTTTAGAACTTTAAATTCCTGTTTTGCACACAAGCAACACAAACAGTTTGTGTCTGTAGAAAAAAAAAAAAAAAAACAGGACAGCTGATATGCTTTTCTAGGAAGCCATTTTACGTGCTACAGATGGGGGAAGGGCCAGAAAAATGCATCATAAGTCCAGAGTTATTTTAAACAGTTAAGGATTATTACAATTACATGCAGTATCTATATACATATTCACCTGGGTGGGTGTGACATATGGACGCGAAGACAGAGCTTCCAACTTGTTTATTTTGTGTACCACATCATGGTGGGGGAGGCATAAGGTCATGAACTCATTTATGGCAGGTAGCTGCGTGTGGTGGCACAACCTTTGAAGTCAGCTGATCGATGGAGGTTTAGGCTGTTTGACTTGTGGGTGCAGTTGTTTATGCAGTACAGGGCGCATGGAAGTGAGGATAGAGGAGTGTTTTATTTTCAAGAGGACTTATATAGGAAAGAGGTTATTGCTTTTTTATGTTGAAATGAAATGAGGAAAAACACGTCTCCTGACACCGGCCACAGTTTGTTTTGCTTTTAAACCAGAAAAAGGGCATTCACATTTTGAAATGATAGACAATTGAAAATATATTCCTGACTATACTTTTGGATTTAAGCTTAGTCCTACTCAGCATTTCAACTGTGAAACATGCAGAGTTGTTCTACTTGCATTAGTAAATTAGTAAAACTGCAAATGTTGTCAGTCAAAATTGCAAACAAAGGAACTTCTGCTCTGCGTGTTTTAAATAGTTCTGTCTACGACGACCAACATCAAAAATTTACAGTGAATGAATATAGAGTCTATATCCTCATGGTTTTGTTTTCTTAAGCAGGTTATAGGGGGACATCAGTTTTTAATTTCAGTCCGTTGTATAATCAGTGAAAACTGTATAGAAGGAATGCGACTGTGTCATTCTTCATACCAATACCTGGGCTTTTGGCCCACATCGGACTTGTAGCGGTTCAATACAAGTATGTAATCCAAAAAACTGAATGCCCTTACTGTGGGAGAGGCTGGAATCATTCAGTCATTCATTTACGTGACTGGAAACATTGGGATTTAAATAAACTTTGCTGCCCTAACTTTGTATGACAAAAAGTAATCAATAAATACATTTACATAACTCCATGATGGGAATCACACTTAAAGTGTAAACCTTTCAAAGCAGCAACAAACTGGTCAGGAGTTAAAAATGCTGAGTACAATTAGATGATGTTGTAGTGTTATTAGATGAGAAGACGACCTCAGGATCAGCCCCATCGTCACACAACATCAATTTAACTACCCAAGTCTGTATCAAATTGGTTTCTCGACTTATGTTTATGTTTCACAGTTTGAGTTTTTTCCCATAATTTTCAAACATAGAAGGAAATCTAACTCAATAAAATGTACATTCATTGCCTCACATGGCATTAAGAACATTTTAAAGCATTGTGCCTTTTGTCAGATAATGAAAGGTAACATAACAACTTTGTGAAAAACTTTTACTGAAATACTTGAAGATGTTGAGAGTGATTAATGAAGGCTGAGGCTATGGCCAAAGACCAATGTCATAATTCTACTACTACAAACACTAAAAACAGTCTTTTCTTTTCTTTTGAGTAATTGAAGAGGTGACAGATACATCAGGTGATTGTTAATTGTTTAAGCAACAGCTGATCATGTTGCACGCTGCTGTTTTAAATGAAGGCGCTGAACAGTCATGTTAGGTTAGGAAAAGATTACCACCGCATACTTTGCATTTTTGGATTATCATACTTTTTTCCCCCCTTGATATCGAAGTAAACCATGTATTTGAAGTGTATCTTACATTTCTAGTAAATCAAAAAGCAGTTTGCACGTATGTGGTCAGTGTGTCATGGCAGTTAAAAGTCAGTTCCGTCTTGCTCCCTGTGACGCAGCGCAGTGTGAAATTCTCCTCACTTCCTGTTCAGGTTTTGCTCTGTGGCTTTAATGTAAAAGCTTCCGCTGAAGCCAAGAAAAGGACATGCGAATGTCTCTTTTGAGATGTTATTATGGTCTCTTGTTTGTCCGTTACAGACAGGGGATTGGGCGTGTGTGCGTTTTTTGAGGTTGGACACGCACCTATTGGAGATTGCTGTTGAAGCACACAGTGGTTTTACTGGCTGGATGTTTGGAAATGAACCATACCTACTTTTAGACCGTGCAGCAACAACAAGTAACTGCACAACACAGATTTTCTTAGTCAACCTAATGCTTTACATTGAAACTTTTAGAGTTGTTCCAATATGAATCACAGAGTCTATGTATCTGATCAAATACCATAGTTAATTAGCCCTTACATATTGTTTTGTTTTCAAAGCACTCAGCCATCATGGATATCATGACTTCCAAATACCATGGCTTTAAAGCATCAATGCAGAATCGACTACTAGTGAATAATAATGTGATGACAGTGTTTGATTAGTGGATAATGTAACATCAGTCAGCTTTTTTAATGTATTTCTCGCATTGGGTATATCTTACTTACTTTACAACATAAGTGTGTGTTTCTGTTGCTCTTTGGACTCCTTAGGAACCCTTCAGGATCGTTTATAAAGCAATGATAGCGATCATATCATATCCATAGAGGATTAGTAGTATACTTTTACAAAGTTAAGACTAGAAGTCATTAAATAATCATTACAATTAGCTCTTTCTTTGGGATGAAGAAACGAGCTAATTGTGTACTTAACAGAGGTCTGTAACTTTACAATCAAATCTAATTTCTTCTACAAAGAGAAGCTTGTCAAAAAGTAAGTTGTTTGAAGCGTCTTCCAGAGTCTGCCAGTTTAATTAGCACCAATCTAATCAGACATCAGCAGCTCCTTTTTTTTTTTTTTTTTTTACCCCTCTGTACGTTTGCTCACACAGCAGAAAAATATGCCACTCACTGTGTCCTGACCTCATGCATCTGTTCTTCTCTAGCCTTTGTTCTGAAGGATGTGAGTTAAGCTCTCTCGTGGATAGCTAGTTCAGTGGAGGTGAACTCATTAATGCCATTTCATTTCACAGATCTGGCATACATCCGGGCTGTGAGAAACTGCTCTTTTCAAATTGGTTTGGAGAATATCACTGAGTCTGTGGCAGCAATGATATTTGTGATAAATAGCAAAAATGAAATCCTTACCATGACATTTTTTTTAGAACAGTGTGGATGCCTGGCCATTTAAAAGAAAAGGGTAAAATCCCAGAAAGTGATAAACAAACATGAAGTAGTCGGCAGTGAGAAAAAGTAAGGAAGGTCTGGGGGAGTGCCCCACAGACGAAAAATTGGCGCCATAAAACCAAATTTGGGGCTTCTTTCAAAATTTCAATGCCACTATTCTATCATATAATTTATCATAAAACATTTTATCAAGTTTTCTAACCTAATCCCAAACATTAGTGAAATATTGCAAAGGAGGATTAGACCTTTTGTGCATATTAGCCCACTCTGTGACCACCCAGCCTCTTAAAACAATCCCTATTCTTGTTTGATTAGACCTCATTTTAAATCTTATAACGATTTATTTAAATCTTCACTTTAAGGTGGAACCGCAAGTACATATTTCTGAGATGGTTAGTGTAAGACGTATTTCACATATCCCTCGACCTGTAAAACAGTCTTAAAGGTCAAGCTGTGTACATGACCGCAGGAATGTTCACTGAATGTATTTGTGTATGAACTCTTACCTGTCTGACTTTCTCTCTCTCTCTCTCTCTGCCCCAGCTTCTGGTATTTGTGGTAAAAACAGCTTTTTTTTTTTTTTATCCTTGTTTTGTTTTTTGAAATGTGAGGGTGCTACATATTCAATTAATAATAAGAACAAAAACGGGACATTTGATCATGCAGTCTGTTGATCTGTATAACTTTCAAGTCTATCAATTAATTTTATGCAATTTACTGCAGTCTGGAGTTTCTGTTAAGTTAACAGAGACAAATTATGACAGGTCCTCCCCGCACACACACTCAGAGCACCATGGGCGGGGTTGAGGCAGGCAGACCGGCAAATTCTCCGATTGTATTGATCTCAAGTGCAGACTTCTCAAATTTACAGGAAAAGCGAGTCCCAACTTTAAAGTCCAAACAGTTTTAAACAACAGTAGAGAACTAGCCAGTCCACGTTAAGTGACTTGACGGCCGTCTAACGCAGCCGTTACTTTTTGAAAGTG